GACACCCCACACTTTATTGAAGTACAACATTTAATCGCTGGAGCACCACATCTTTACATACAGTCAGTTTATAAACAAGTTGAGTCCTTAGCCAGTCTAGCAGCTCTGTGAGGCAACACTCAGACATGCAGTCGTGCTCTGAGCTAAATGCTAACGTCAGCATGCTAACATGCTCACAGTGACAATTTCAACATGTTGATGTGTAGCAGGTACAATGTTTTCCATGTTCACCATTTTTGTTTCCATAAGCTAATTAGCACTAAACACAAAGTACAGCTGAGGATAATGGGAAACAGTTTGGTGAGGATTTGGTCAGAAATCATAATACTGACCTGCTGGTGGCACTAGAGGAAGTCAGGGGATCACCAAAGTCTTAAGGATTCATCCTTAGAGCACTGTGGATATCTGTACCAAATTCAATGCAAATGCATCCAGTAGTTGTGTAGGTATCTCAGTCTGCACCAAAGCGGTGGACCAGCAAATAGGACAGGGTGAAATGCCCATCCTGCATAATAAGTATTTACAATTGATGCTGAAGTAGAAGTAGGAAAGCATAAATGTGCTTACGTAAAATATCCGGATACTTCCTGTAAATTAGCAATGGATGCTCTCCTGTGTCACTTTTGTATGTAATGAGCATCATACCTGCAGTCCTCCCACCTTTGCTCCCAGTCACATTAGACAAACAATAGGTCTCAGCCTGTGTGTAAGAGAGTGAGACTATGGATTTATTGATTAGCCCTACTCCACCAGTGCTCTCGTCTCACAGCTCCTCCTCATTAGAGAAAGCAACAGCAGTTAATGGGTGGTATGAATCCAGCCACTCATCAAAATAAGACCGGTAGAGGAGAGAGTGAAACCTGTGATACTTGAGATGAGGAGCAAACATTATCCTTTGTACTTGGTCCATGTTTCCACTTCAGTCAAGCACTGTTGTGCATTCAACTGTCCTCTTCATGAAGCAGCTGTGCGTCTACATGAGGCAAATCCCTGAGGTTATGTATTTACCTGTAACAGTGATGAAACCTGACAAAGTGCATTTACTCAAGTACTGTAGTTAACTGTAATTTTGAGGTGCTGGTACTTATGTATTTTCTTCTCGATTCCACTACATTTCATGGTGAAATACTGTAGTTGTTGCTTCACTGCATTTATCTGGTAACTACAACAGTAAAGTCCTGCTTTTACATCTATGCATGAGTAATAATAATCCAATGGTATAATAGATAGCAGTATAACTTTTACGTTTAATACTTTAAGTACATTTTCCTGATCACACTAACATACTTTAACTTAAGTATCATTTTCAATGCACGAAGTAGGAGGTCTCCTTCCAGACAGCTGGCTTGTTCACTAAACTGTTCCCCTTTCATCTTGCGATACACAGCCTTGTACTTTGAATTTGAAAGCCTTCATGACTCATCATCTGCAGTGAGGAAAATGCAGCGTATGCTTTTGATCTCAGTGTTACGTAAAAGACATCAACACACACAATGTACATGAGTGAAATGATAACATACAAAGTAGCCTCAAACACACATGTCCAAGGCTTTGTGTGCCATGCACCTCAGCTCAGTGTTGCAGAAATGAGGGAGATAACAGAGTCAAATGTGATTAGACACTGACTCCTCCTCACTGGTCTGCACCCTGTAGCACAGTCTGTCACTGTTTTGACAAATTAATTTCATCCTTATTACTTGTGAGCGAGCTCCACCTCCTGGCAGTGGTCTGTTACTACAAACTGTGACCCTCTGTTGGACTCCACAGAATATAACCAACTGTCTCTCTCACAAGCATATTGACTCAGTTGTGAAGTCTTTTTTAATGCTTTCTAAATTTGACTTGCTTTTATCCCCAGAGAATCTTGAAGCTGTCATCAGTGCCTTTTTTACTTTTATTTTCATAACATTTTAGATTTAGCAGAGAACATGAGTTGCACTACAAAAACATTTCACTACATGGGGATCAAAGTGCTGTCGTGCCTTAGATAACAAAAAAGGAACTTGGAGAGAGAATGCTGATTAGATAAATGCAATAATTAGTGTTAATTTAGAGTTACAAATAATTACCATCCATTACATTTCACTCGTGTCTTTCTGTAAGTAAAGGGTGTACATCATCTTTTTCATTGGGCAAATTATAGCGAGTGCAAATCACACATGTCAGACTGCTTACAGTTGAGATCAAGATTGATTTCAAGATCCTATTGATTACTTTCAAAGTCGCTGTTGTCTTGTGACCTGGTTATATTATTACACTTTTAATTTTATATGAGCCTGTTTTGCGATTTAAGTCACATCTAAATATCTTTACAGTTTTAAATCCATCCCTTTTTAAAATGTAATTTGTGTTATTGTCTTAATTAGGGCTGGGTGGCATGAAGAAAATCAAATATCATGTTTTTGACCAAATGTCTCGGTATTGATATTACAACAGTATTATTGTGCTGACTGTTGGTGCTCTCACAAAATATTTACACAATGAGATTTTTGATAAATAACCATCAGTAATATGGACATAATGACTAAGTGGTTACAGGCAAATAACAGAGCAACAAGAACAGTCTGATAGGTTCAGAAAATAAGATCATTTCACTATAATGCAGCCTTTAAAACCAGGAAAAAGACAGCACTTCCAGTATTATGATATCCAAAATCTAAGACAATAATCTCACATCACTGCATTGATATATCGATATATTGCCCAGTCCTAGTTTTAAGATTATAACTTTCTATTCATTTATATAGGCTACATTTAACACTTTCTAACTTTGTTTTTGGAGTTCCATGTAGCTGGTTTATAAAGTAGATAATGGTGGGAATTTAAAATAACCATAATGTAAAATGCAGTACATTGTCTGTGTAGGTTTTGTTAGGAATAATGATGATTATTGTTGTTGTAATATCACAGTTTCATTAAATATACTTTACATTAAAAGTACAAAAAGATAAACCTGAAGATATGAGAGTGTAAAGCAATGCGATTTTCAAAGTAAAAAAAAAAAGCTAAAATAAAAGGTATTATTTAATAGAAACCAGTCATCGAAAACTCAGAGGAGTTGGAATGTCACTGATGCTGAATGTTAGCTGCAAAGATTCATGTAATTAACCACAGATAAATCATCTGTACCTCAATTTGGGTTTTTAGAAGTCCTCTTACTTCTTTATTTCCAGCTGCTTCAATCTCATTGGCTTCCACTGCGAGGCTGCGTCAAATTACAGCATGGATGTTTGCCGACGACATAGACTAAAACCGGAAGTGAAGTAAGGCTTCAAAATAAAATAAAGAAGAAGAAATTGATTTATAGACATGGAGTAACAATGATCCAGAGTAGATTGTGGACTTTGTTAGGATAAGATTAATCACGATTAGTGATACATTTTTGTCTTTTAGATGAAGTGGAGTATCATCCATTTTAATAACTATAATATTGTGCTCTTATTACACATTACAACATTATTGTTTGAAAAGCAGAGATCAGAACCCTTAAATCTGTGATTAATTTGGTTGTAACATAAGCAGCTGCTCCCAAATGTGCAGCCCTGATTTGGAGTAGCTGTGATTGGTAAATCTGAGTTGTCACACCAAATTAATAAATAGCTGTGCTCATAGAAGAAGAGAGCAGGCTGTTTGCACAATAAGTCTCATAGGACAACCAATTCAATGTCATGGCTGTATGAAAGTAATATGTTGCAAAATGTAGACTTGATGTAAGAAATCTGAACTCATATGTTTAAATTTTCATTGTCTAAAATATTCACACATGTGCGCTGAACTGAATTACAAGTGCAAGTTCGGCTACACATTTATCCCGAGAAGTGTGGCTAAGTGAAGGCCTGCAGGTTTGTCACTTGGTGATTTTGTGAGAGAGCATGTTTGTGAAGTTGCAGTGACCGATTTGAGAGATTGTAATCACTGAGTTGTGGTTGGACTCAATAATGGACTCAGGTTAGAAATAAATGATTATGAGTAAATATTGAATTACAAGTTTGCAGCTGCCATTTTATTTATGTAAATACCAATCTGCATAAGTTTGAATAGTTTTTCTGTGACTTCACATTCAGACCACGAGTGTGTGAATATCTTCTATGACTAAAAATTCCAATTTGCAGCAGCTCACAGCAGCTCAAGCTGTTATGTTTTATTTTGGGGTTTTTTTTCAGGGATTTCAAATTTAGATCACAGGTGTCTGAATATGTTATACAAGTGAAAATTTAAACATACAAGTTCAGATTTTTGCTCAACAAGGTCTCACCTCAATTTTACAAGCTCCCGCAATTTGCAACACATTTACCTTCATAGGTATGAAGTCCTCCTATGAAGTGGGTACCTGGCTGTTTACTCTTGTTACTCTTCATTTTGTACACACAGTGGGCATTTCCCATGGTTTTTCATTGTATTTAAGCTACTGCACAACACTGACAGAGAGTAGAGAACACAGTACTGACCTCACCTGTCTGTGTCAGACATGTTTTTTTATGTAGTTCAGTAACTGAAATATTCTTGTAGTGGATGGCCTGTGAAGCCAGGTAGAAACATTACTTTCTTTTTAAGATGTAGTCATTTTATTTCCTTCTCTTTGCACACGTAAAGGCTTATTGGTGTGACTCAGCCAGTCACAACTCCAGTCAGAAGAAGCAAGCAGATACATTTCAACCCAAAATTATTTTTTTTCTAAAAACAGTTTGTCACCATGGACGAGACAGTTCTACTCAATTTATTTTATGACTTGTGAGAATCCATACTTTGGCTATTTTGACGTGTGCCAGGCATGCAACAAATAAGCGCCAGTAAAAAAGTTTATGTTGTGGAGACTAAATATGAATCTACAATACATTTCAGTTTAAATACACCTAAAGGGACTGTTTTCAGTCTGGTGTAGAGCAGAGTTTATTTGCAGTTTTTAAAAGTATAGCTCAGTCAAGATACTTTTATTTTGTAAGTTGTAACCGGAAGTAGTAGTAGTAGTAGTATGTTTTATTATGGCAGACTTGTTAGTAGTGGACAGAGCTGCAAACCAGTTGAAATCCCCCTCCACCGGAGTAGAGGGCGAGAGGGTCTAGCCCTGCAGTCCAGCTCAAACATGGCGGGCCGTGGAGGCGACGTGATGTGTTCACGGTCCGGGTCCAGATCCGCCACCGACCGCCCAGCTTTAATGATGCCCGTGTCCGATGAGCAGAAACCGAGGAAGAGGAGGAGAGCTTTCTGCCTGACCAGGATGAAGTCCCGCAGCAGCTCCGGAGAACAGCACCAGCATCAGCCCGCCGCAAACAACAACAACATGCCGTTCATGATCCACTGCCAGATCGGCAAAGAGATCAAGCACATCTGCAGCAACTGTCGAGGAGCCGAGCCGCTGGACGGTGAGAGGAGTTCAGTCTATTGCTGCTGCAAAGACAAGGGGTGTTTATACTCTTCTCTTTTTAGATTACTATTATCATCTGTTGGTGACCGCTCCCTGCCTGTGGGGGGAATCTGCTCTGCAAGACCGGGGAGCAGCACTCAGATCAGCCCTTAGCACTGCCTGTATTTACTCTATTTACTTTTCAGTCACCTTTTAAAGAACTTAGTGCTGTTCCAAAAGCCTGTTGCATCAATTTAGTTTGGCCTGTTTGTGATTTAGTTTAGATAAAGTGAAGTTAGTGTGGAGCATCGTTTCAGACTTATTGTTTTTAGCTGTGTGGTTTAGTTATGTTTCCCTGCATAATTCCCCACATAAAAAACATGTTACTTGGCTAAAAAGATAATCATGACGTTTCTAATTAGTGGATTTGTTAATTTAATTGAAAAAGCTGTTCCTAGTAGGCCTACTAATATCTCTCACAGATGGATGTAGCCATGCAGAAAATCATTGAAAGTGAAGTGCTTTGTAAAGACCAAATCTTATTTCTGAGAGCTGGCTATCTTTTTTCAGCAGTTATTAGTTGCAGTATATTTCCCTCCAAAAAGACCATAAAAACAACCAGCCGATTCAAATGACTTAATCGACCAAAATCTTAATCAGGCTTGCAACTATTGATCAGTGTCATTGTCCATTAATCACTCTCAATCCATATTTGTTTAGTCTATAACATGTCATAAAACTACCTCAGGTGCGCCCAAGGTGACATCTTCAAATGTCTTGTTTAGTCCGACCAACATTCCAGAACCCCAAAATATTCAGTTTGCAATAACATAAAAAGCAAATCTTCACAGCTGAGAATCTGGAGCACGGGTTTATTTGCCTGTACAGAAGAATGGCACATATTACTGTTAAAAGTATGAACATGGCTGCCGGTTAGTTGTCTGTTCATTGAGTAATCGATGTATGGACTCATTGTTACAGCACTGGTGTCATCACACTCACAGCATCTTGGGCTGCCCAGATCAGCCAGCTGTAAAACCTGTCCAATCAATCAACAAGTTAATTTAATTTGAAAATCTCTCTCCAGTAATATCGTCTGTCCGCAGATCAATACAGTCATGAAGAAGAAGATTGCTTAAAATGTACTGTTGATTGGAGACCCAGAGACGTGACTGTCAACCTATCAATTGCTCTCCCACCACAGATCAATACAGACATGCCGAAGATTGATGCTTAATATCTATTTGCCTGGTCAACCCAGAACCCAGCCCAGTATTGAATACAGCTCATTCCCAGTAATAAGACCGTAAATAAAAATAACTAATCCAAAAACATGACAGGGCCGAGAACCTGGATGAGTCAGCTAATGGACTGAGCAGATTCGGTCCCGGCAGCGTCGACTCTTGTTTGGCTGCTCTGAGCTTCTTGTTGAGTGAGTCAGTGTTTTGAGGCAGCACTAAGAAAACAGACCTGGGGTCTGACCGAAAGAATGTCACCCCACAGTGTGAGTCTGAGCCTTCTGACTCACTGCTGCTCTTGCTCCACTGCTGGGGGGGTCCGACAACACCAGCAGGGACAGGACACCACACTCTGTTTACAGGGACACAGATGAGTCAGGAGGGCACAAGACAAGACCCCTCAAAACCACCATGTAATCACCTCAGAAATGAAAATGCTCTGTCTCCTCCTGACTTGAACACACTAATATGTTAGTCATTACGTCTAATATGGATGATATTGTAGAATTGTTTGGGCTTTGATGGAAAAGTTCCTGTTATCTGTGCAGGGAAGGTTTTTGTGCTGTTGTTGTTGTTGTTGAAGGGCCTCTGGATGGTGGCTGCTGAGCTGGTACAGATTTGAACTGACATCCCTCATGTTGCAAGGCCACCTCGAGGCTGACATCCCTTCCTGTCTGCAGCTGCTTACTGGTTCACATTTATTTATTTATCCTCTTTTACCACTGACATACTGGTCAGCTTCTATTTGTGGCCACCATTTCCTTGGTTCATTCTGCCTGATAAGCACCAACCAAAAAAAACTGTTAAGAGTTAGATTTAAGTCAGGAAATTTCTGATCAAAGAATAAAGTAAACCTCAACACCAGCCTTCAGCAGTTGACAGTTGTTGATACTTGGAGCTACAAACACATTTTGTTTGGCTATATAACCTCAGAAGTCATGTTTTAGTCCCATTTGTCGGGTTGTTGTTGTTTAGTCAGCAGGATGTCCCCAAAAACGACATGACAGATTTCACTGAAGGAATAAATGTTTAGTTTTTGGTGCAGATCTGGAGCTAGTGGTGCTACCATGTGTCCTCTTATAAAGCAGTCCCTCCAGGAAGTTGCAAGGTTGCGATCGCAACAATTAACAGAATCCCTGTGATATCTGCGCAACCTTGCAATTTTGTCCAGTCACTGCAACTTCACTGCAAATTTGACTATTTAAAACGAGTAAAATCTAATTTCATTGGAAAGCTGTGTGCAGCGTATTGATTTGATTTGTGTTTATCATGACACTGCTGTTGCAGGACCGGAGATCTCGGCCTGGGACGGAGTCACACACACAGTGACACTGCTGACTGTTAGCATCACATAGCTAACGTGACCCAACAGTTATTGACAGGTTAAACGACAGAGTTGAGACGTTTTGGTGTCGGTGTGAGATTGATGGCTCAGTGTCAGGTGTTGACCGCTGCTGCCAGGCTTTTGCCCAAGCGGCAAAATATGATGAGTAGGGAGGGCATCATGTTGCGATGTGTTAGGTGGAGCTTTTTTTTTTCTTCAGAAGAGTGAAACAAAGTAGTTTCTCTCAATTCCTTGGTTTAACAAACGCATTTTTTAATACTGTAAACACATATTTTTAAGATTTCTTTTCAGAACCGTTTCTCAAACGTATCTCATCAAATGCACATTATTTTAGTTGGTTAGTTTTTGTACAATTTATTTATTGTATCTTCCTTATTTTCTACCAATGCTTCTTGTTATTGTGGTATCCCCTTTGCTGCTGTAACACTGCAATTTCCCTTGCTGTGGAACTAATAAAGGATTAGGCTTAGCTTAAATTTGATACTAGACATAATTGAAAACGAACTCCCATACAGTTTTGTTGCATCTGGTTCTCACATTCTTGTAACCAGAATTTATTTAAAATATATCCTTGAGATTTAAGGGATTTTATTTTCTAGTTATTATTTGTGTTAGTCATTGACCACCTACTACTGCCTGTGCTAAGTCGTTTACCTTTTATAGCTGTATGTTCCCAAACTGTCAGTGTACATGTGAGTCAGAGCGCAGGATCGTTCTTTAAGGACACTTTGGATCTGATGGAGGATAGATGCATCTTGCAGAGGTGTTTGAAACTGCGACATTTCTGTCACATTAAAGGAAGGCACTTCTGATCTGCCTGCTTGCACAGGTTTCCACATGTAAATGTTTCTATTGTTACGTAGTATATATTTGTCTGTGAATATGTGTATCAGTGTCTGCTGGTGCTGGTGCGTGTTTACATCCATGACTGCCAGCTAAAACACTGCCTTCCTGTTTTGTGTTTATTTATCGCCCCTGGCTCTTCAGGCCTCGTGCTCTCGTTCTGTAGAGTCCGTCTCATACAGCAGGATGTTGTGCGTAGTGGCAAAGGTGTAATTTCAAATGAAAAAGTGGTGCACGCTGTATAGAAACAGCCTCCAGCGTGATTACTTTGAAACAACTCCCCATTGGGCCCAGAGAGCTACAGTTCAGAGTCAGACAGTGAGTGGAAAAAGTGGAGGAGGGAGAGACTTGACTTGAAGCAAGGTGTTTTTTTTTTTGTTTAAATAAGTAGAAAGGGTGCTGTGTATATTCACTGTAACTCTTCTTGTTTACACCCTGTTTATGTTCCACTTTCCTGCATATTTAATTTGTCTCTGTCAGACTCGTCAGGAGGTTATTTCCTCGTTTGTGCCTCAGTGAGGCTTCTCTCTGCAGGTCCCCCCTGGTTTAACTGTGATTAAGAGAACAAGCTTTACCTGACTTGATTATGCACAGCCCCCTGAGAGAATGTGTCCCCTGACATTTGAATCACAGACCAAGTAATGATCTGTTTTTCTTTTCAGTGGATTTAAGAAGCCCAGCATGATAACTGAATATTTACTTCCCACCTGACTTAGAGGTTACTTAAGGAAACTTAGAATGGCTTTACATGTAGAACATGGCAGCTAAAAATTTAAAGCGGTTTAAGTCTGAATAGATTTTTCAGAGTACTTCTGTCATCAAATACATGTGATGAGAAATTTATAAGTGTGGTTTAATGTCATGTGACGAATGAGAATTCATTGGGGAGATAGGACATCTTACAGCAGGAGGACATCTTGGACTGTAATTGCTGTAGCAATTATTTTCATTATCACTCAGGCTAATCATTTGGTCTCTAAAATTTCAATAAACGGGTGGAAATGTCTGTCCCTTTTTCCCCAGAGTCCAAGGTAATGTCTTGTTCTGTTAGACAAACAGTCCAAAACCCAAAGATGTTCAGCTCACAGTGATATGAAACTGAGATAAGCTTCAAACCCTCAAATTTGAGAAGCTGCAACCAGAGCATGCTCAGGATTTTTGCTTAGAAAACAGATCATTAATATAGTAGCTGATTTGCTTCCAGCCATTCACCTGATCAATTAATCAGTAAATCATTGCAGCTGTGTACCCTATGTATGTGTTTTTTGCAAATGATGTGAAGAAATGAAAACAAAATACCTTGCGCTCATATATTTTGATTCTGCTGCTATGATGCTGTGGGGAAAAAAGAAAAATCACTGTGACAAACATATTTATTTGTGTGTTTTGTTTACCTGCTTGTTAATGACCTTGTTGTTTGTGTTCTGTTCACCAGCTGAGGAGGTGGAGAGGTTGGCAGCGATGCGCTCAGATTCACTGGTTCCAGGCACACACACACCTCCCATTCGGCGGCGGAGCAAATTCGCCACCCTAGGACGTCTGTTTAAACCCTGGAAGTGGAGGAAGAAGAAGAGTGAAAAGTTCAAGCAGACCTCTGCTGGTGAGAACTGAAACACGCTCAACACAACACCTCCGCCATCACCCAGTTCCTCACCTGTTCCTCTGTAGTAATCTGCAAAGTAGAAAAATGTCTCCCTGTGGCACCTAGCAACAGCAGCACTGATGAATGGAGCTTCAGAGCAGGGGGTGATATAGGGGCTGCAGGAGAGATCTACTCTCTATGATTATCATTATATGAGGCTGGTAAAGCACCAGGAGGCTGCGGGTCAGCTGCTCCTGCTGCTGCTTCATCTACCAGACCATCAACACTGCTGAGCCTGCCTGGTCTGGTTGGAACATGTTTTGGATTAGCCTTACAGTTAGTTAGATATTCACATTGTAATAATGACGTACATTAATGAACACCACAGATTGTTGAGGGTAACACAACATTGATAAATAGTCAACTAATTTGCATTGTTGTCCTCTGGGCTACTAGAGGGCAGAGGGCATGTCAGTTAACATGGCACACAAAAACATCTCATAAATGATGGTGATTGTATGGATCTCCTGTGCTGCCGAGTTGAAGATTTCATTGAATGTTTTACCAGAAATAGACTTAATACCTTTTATAAAATTCCTTCCGAGTCTTCACTGCACACATGAAACTGGACAGATGTAGATGTAAACTGCAACTTGATTGGTTGGTGTATGCAGTAATTCAAGTGTTTTGTTGTTGTTGTTTTAAGTAGATTTCTACTGAAGATCCAAAGGAGTATTGTGTAGTAATCATATGAAAATATAGCAAACTGATCCACATGCCAAGAACTGTCATCCATTTCTCACTTTTTAAGAGATGATACTTACCAAGAAGAAATGAATACCTTTGTATACATATATGAGTGTATTTTTGTGCTTGATATGTGGAGTCAAGTCACTTATATATAGCACACAAAAAACAACAAATATTCACAAGTGCCCTCTAGGGGTGTAAATCACAAGTTTCGTCACAAAATGATATTTTTGATTCTTTGGACAACAATATGGTATTTGCTGCTATCATGATATCAGTACCATTTAGATTCAGTTCAGGGGCCTGTGAATGATATGAGATGGTATCAGTAAATAGGAAATGGTGATACAGACGTGTCATGGGAATTTCAAAATAAAGGCGTTACCTTAAAGGTGGCAATATGTATTGATGTTTTCACTTTGCATCGATGAAATTGGATCATTGATCACTGAATCCATACATTGATCCAGATCGACGTATCGTTACACCCCTAGTGGCTTCACAGAAATGAAAATTAACTATTTGTATAAATGTGAAAATACAAGAGACATGTTCACAGAAAACTATTGAATAACAATGACAGTTATGATAACTTTCAAAATAGCAAAGAAATTAAGCTAATTTAAAAGCTAATTCACATTTATTTTACTCTGTCCAAACATTGTGACTCAACGCTGTTAATTATACTGTTCATCAGACAAGACATGCAAACACAGCAGCTGTGAGGAGCTGATTGTTAACGTTCACCGCAGCAACAAATTAGCTTTAAATGGTGATTGTCAGTGTGCCACTGTGTTGTCCTTCTACATCAATGAAATCCATGTTAGCCCCAGTGAGGAATTGTGGATGTTAGTACGTATGTCGTGTGCTCGGCTACAATCTGCACTTGGCAGGAAACTGTGAAACAGAGGAAAGTGTTTAATTTGGCCGGAGAAATGGAAGCTGTTGTTGTTTCTCAGCTGGCTGAATGCTTTTCCATCCTGTTGTCACTGAGAGACACAAACACACAGCGGAGGGGTGAAGAGAGGCTTCCTGCAGCCAAGCTGTCCTCCCAGCTGTCACAGCAGGTTGCTTCCTTTCTCTGTATGCAAATAAATCACAATATACATTTTACAGCACACACACATACACACAGGTAGATGCATGTTGTGAGCACCATGTGTTATCGCTGGACTTCTGCCATCATTCAGTCCAGGTGGTTTCAATTATGTGTGCATTCATGGATCATTGTGGTCTGATACAGAGAAAGTAACTACACTTATTTGTATATTATATGTATTCTCTTATGAGGCTGGGAGATTTGTAGGGTTCAAAGCAAGAAAAATTATATCTAGTATGATCTTCAGTTGTCTTTCTATTTATTCTGTAAGTTTTATAACCAAGAAAGTATGAGTGGCATGAGGTGGTGCAAGAGAAAGTGTAATAGGGAAATGAACATATTTCTGTTTCTTTTTTGTTGATTATTTAGAAAGATAAAAACATCTTTCACAATGCTTATGCCCAGAGAGTGTATCACATTTTAGGAGGACTGACTTTTACCTTATGTTGACAACCTCTCAACCACTACTCCACTAAATATCTTATATATACTGTCTTATTGGGCCATAAAATGTTAACATTTGGCATGTAGGTACTGGTAGTAGACAGTTATGGTTGTATATCTGCTGATATGCTGACCTGCCATTTCCCACCTGCTTGTTGAGTCAGTTACAGAAAACTACAAAATGCTGGAAAAAAACTCAAAAATATTAATATTGTTATATTGTTGTCTCTCCTTCTGCATTAACCTCAGGTCTTTTGGTAATTGGATGATTTTTTTATCAGCCCGTGTTTTGCTGTGGATAATCTTCACATGTCCTGCATCCAACTCATTTAATGAGAAGGACTCCAGGCATCGTACAAACTGACAGAGGCAAATGTGATTAATGAGTGTCTGAGGTGAAAGTCAAAAGCTTCCTGTCAGATAACTGTCAGAAACATAAAGCAGTTATAGCTATGATACTTAAAGGCAGAGAAATCAAAACTCGACTTGACCTGATAGCGGTTGAACTCATGACAAGGAAATAAAGGAAAATATGAAAAATATAAAGTTTGAAAAAGGGAAATAAATGAAATGTGATGATGATTCTAAAAATGTGTAGACATGAAGATAGAGCTGTGAGAAAACTAATGGAAACATTGAGAAATAAGAGGATAAATACCAGTAATGGGAAGTATCAGTGTATCATCTGTATAGGATGTGCAGAAATATCTATCTTATATCTTATATCTAATGCTTTATTAAATTAACATGTAGTGTTTCACTTTGCTCATGCACTGTAGCTTGCTTATGTGCATGACTATCCAAATCTACAATGTGTAAAATGCACAGATGAAGAAAGTGATCTTTCTTTTGAGAGCTGTGGCTCATCAAAAGCTAAGGTTGTGCATTAATGCTTCGAGATAAAGACGATTAAATAAGGTTTGTGTATAAAATCACCATGCAGTTAGACATTGTGCTCCTCAGCTGCATGGCTGCAAACCTTTTGTGTTCAACACCTTTTATAATTCCACTCTCTCTGAGTAACACTGAGCTCGTAGTGAAGTCTGTGCGCAGCTCAGAGGCTCAGTCACAAGATTATTACTGGGCAGCAACAATGATGGAGGCAGCAAACTCACATCTGCTGCAGCTGACACATTTCTCAACACTGATGATGTTCTGAGTATTCAGTGCAAGTTGCCTGATGGTTTTCTGTTTGTTGTTGTTGTTTATTCGGTGTCATGTATTTTCTGCTCCCTCAGTGTTGGAGAGGAAAATGTCCACTCGCCAGAGCAGAGAGGAGCTCATCAAGAAAGGAGTGCTGAAGGAGGTTTATGAGAAAGGTGAGGCTCAAGATGACAAAGGTGTTCAATAAGATGATTTTAATTTTGCCCTTTCATCATGCAAAAATACTGTCTATAGGTTTTCTAGTTACAACTTCTCAGATGTGACTATATGCTGGCTTTTCCCTGTCTAATATCATTTTTCTAATATATGGTGGTTATGGTCTGTTACCATGGAGGGGCTATAACTCTTTGTTCTGTTTGCTAAAATTAATATTGATGATTTTACTTTTTTTCAACATTTCATAGAAAAAAATAGTTGTTAAGTTGAAGATATATATCTTTGTTAAAGATTTTTTTTTAAAAAATTGGTTCCTGGATCTCGGGCTGCAACACTTCCTCCTCTGTTTTTGAATGTCTACCCGTCTTTCATCAACCTATTGTTGACTCTCCTCCTGTTCTTCTTCTCGTGCTCCTCATTCTCTGTCTGTGCAGACGGCTCTTCCCCAGCTGTACGAGACGAGGTGAAGATGGAAAACGGGCGTTCTCCGGTGCTCAGCTCCAGCTTATCAGAGCCTGAAGGTACTGAGATGATGGAAGGAGCCGCTGCAGCTGTAGGTAGGCAGCAGAGCCGGGCACCACTGTTGCCTCATCTCCCACATCACATCATAGCATCTGACTGTTTTTTATTTCTGTGTCTCTTCTCCTCAGGCTCTCTGGAGTTTCAGATGCCAAGTGAGGGTGCTTGTCAACAGGACCACACCCAAAAATCTACAAAGAAGTCCACTGTGTATCCAGCTGACAGCGCCGAGTTGACGCTCTCCAGACCTCCTACGCTACACAAACAACCTCCTGCGCTACCACCCAAACCCTTCAACAGGCTACCTAATCACATTACAGGTAAGTTTATATTCACACGCTCATACTGTAACTGCATGTGTGACACTGCATGCATGACTAATCCTTTCACATCCTCGCTCTCTGTGCAGACGGTGCCCCGGTGAAGTTGCCGTGTATGTTGGCGAAGTTATCTCCTCCTCTACCTCCAAAAAAGCTCATGATCTCCGTACCTGTAGGGAGCATGGAGCCCTCTCCGCTCGCCTTCCAGAAGTGCCCCCCTCCCAGCCATGCTCCAATGGGCGGGCACTCCCTGCAGTACGGAGCGCTACCCCTCCACCCCCCCAGCCGAATCATAGAGGAGCTCAACAAGACCCTGGCCCTCACCATGCAGAGGTTTGAGAGGTGAGCACCAAACTGTGGAAGTTCTGATACAGACACTATTCTACTTTTAAATCTCTTTGAAAGTATTTTAGAAACTTTTCAGGTTCCTGCAGAAGTGACTGCAGGGAAGAAAATACTGTTGTTGACAAAATATCACAAATGTGAAAGTCTGTGTTGTTTTCATCTCTCCTGGTCTCTTCTTAATGGAGGCATACTACTTATATCACCCTCTCCTCCACCAGCTCACACCTCCACATCCATCAGTATGATTGGCTGCCTGCACCCTAATTCTCTACAAACCCGGCTCTGCTCTAGGCAGGTGTTGTTCATGGAAAAGCTTATGACGTGGTGTACACCTGTTTTTTTTTATTTTTATTTTTACAAACCAATCATTCATTTTACTCTGTTTTGATTCTACCTGCCTTTCTTTAGCTTCTCTGTTTGAATGACCACAGGCGTTCTTTCGGTCGGTTTGTTTTGAGAGTTAAATACCAATGATAGATAACCAAACCCGTGGCTTTGATTGGTCGTAGCCGTGTCCGTAGACTTGTCTCCCCTGTGACACTCTCACATACAGCTGCTGTTATTTCACAACTGCACGCCACACTGAGCACACAGCTCTGACCTTTGCCCTCTCCCACCAACCTGCAGCTCCATGATGCACGCTGTTCCCACGGTGATGATCGAGTGTGACGACGACAAAGAGAACCTCCCCAACGAGGCAGACTACGAGGACCTGCCTGAGGAAGAGGAGGAGGATGAAGAGGAGGATGAAGAAGAAGATGACGAGGAGGAAGATGAAGATGAGGAGGAAGATGATGATGACACATTGTTTACAAGTAGGTGTTTTTCTTTGGGGTATGGAGCATCCACTCGCAGTCGCCTGTTAATATTAATTAGAATATATAAGTATGAAGTGTAGGCATGTGCATGTATGGGCATACGCATTAATGTGTTTCCATGTGGTTGCACAGACGTCACACATGGCTTGAAGCCCTCTGTGCCGCAGTTTGTCATCAGAGATGTGAATTATTTATGACAATAGCATTATGTACATAGATTATTTATTTCATTTATTTTGCACAAGTAATATACACACAATGCATAATACATAAGGGAAGAAAAAAAGGATTCATGCTGGTGAAAATGAAAACAGGTTTATAAAGATTTCTTACACGTGAAAAAGGTCACACTATAAGACAAACAATTAAAGTTGCAATAATTTACTTTATTTAGCCACTAGGGGGTCAAATACCACAAAGCCCTGACATATTATCACATTGTAAAGTTATGGCTAACATGCTAGCAAACAGCTAATAGGTGGTTAGGTTTCCACTTGCTGCTAAATGCTTCACTAAAGCTCCTTTCCCACGGCACAACAAACCTTCTAACAACCGCTAACATGGTTTTTTAATATAATGGGAAAAGTTAAAATCAGCATTCACACCCAGGTCAAATGAGTCTGCAGTAATCACAGGAATTTATCGCCATTGACTAAGCACAACACCCGGGTGAATGTGCTCATTTTAGCCCCTTAACTGGCGAGATGCAATGATGTAACGCCACAAAATATCGCCCATCTCCGCCCAACATCATTCCAAATTAGTCTGCACCAAATTTGAAAGAGAGACTGAATAAGTAAGAGATATATAATATCTCTGGCCAGGCGTGACATCAAACATGACAAATCAAAAAAGAAAAAAAAACACACACACACACACACACACAGAAAGGCATGCTTGTCTGCTACAAAGCCACATACACAGCTCTGGTCTATGGCAATGGGAAAGGAGTATATAGGCTATTTTTAGCAGGTTTTCCTGTGTTTAAAAAAACTTGTGTACACACCCTAATTTAAGTGGAAAAGAGATAAATGTTCACCAGCTAGCTGTTGATGATCAGGTACACTGTGTTTATGACAGCTTGTTTACTGAAAACAGCTGCCTGCTGCTGCTGGAAACAGACAGTATCATGTGAGGGGCGTTTTAAGATGAACTTGACTGGTGTGAGGAGGCACACAACCACAGGGCAGTAATTCTAGTTTCTTACCGTGACTGCTCGCTACTTTTAAAACTGTTTATGTGTAATGATTCATAATTAAAAGAAAGAAGCACTTACATGAGTGAGCCAACTGTTCAGATCATTATCTCAAATCCAAACTGATCATGAGACGGAGGTTCATTTGAGCCTGGTAGCCTTGGGGAAACCCTGATATAAAACCAATAAACTGTAAAGAAATACGAACAACTATGACAAAAAAGCTACTAAAATTATGTTAGCTTCTGGAAGAAAATCTATACAGGTTTCTTACAGTCAGATTGTAGAGTGATAGTTCACTACAGCCTGGATCTGCATGACAAAGCTCACAATGTTTATTATTAACACACCACATCCATGTTGCTTCTTGTTGTGATCATTTTAGGCACACTGGCCATGAAGGTTTTACGAAAGGACTCCCTGGCCATCAAGCTCAGTAACCGTCCATCGAAGAGGGAGCTGGAGGAGAAAAACATCCTGCCGCTGCAGTCGGACCAAGAGAGACTCGAGTCTCGACAGCAAACAGCCACAAAACTGACCAGGTGATAAACAGCCGCCAAGCTACTGTTCTCTGAGATACCACACACATCATCACACACGTGTACAGGCACACATTACTCCACATGCAGGCCCAGTGACCTGCAGAGTGCTTTACCCCATGTTAGCAGTGATAGATGTGACCTGGCTGCTAAAGGGAGCAGATGATGGATGATGAGTCATAATGGAGGGAGGAGGGAGGAGGCAGAGCTCAGAGGGGTGAGATTAAAGCTGAGGAGCAGCTACGAGACAAGCAGACGTGAGGGAAATAGAAAGTGGAGTACAGTGTGTGGTATGAGGGTTGAAAGGGTCAGTCAAAGTTTAAGTGGAAGGTGTAGGTACAAAACTGTTTCCCAAAATAATCCCATAGCATAATCTCTTATCATTCGTTATATAGAAAACTAGCTATAAGAGATGTATTGAGATGTATGCATCTCAATAAACAGTATCAGACAGATATTTAGACACCTGATTAGATCCACAGTTTTCATCATTATCTATGGTTGGTAAACTGAACATAGAGGTGCGGCTAATGATTTTTCAAGCTAATTTTCATTATTGATTTATATGTTAAGAATTTTCTGAATTGTTTCATTAAGAAAATTACAGAAAAATATGCCTATAACAGTTTACCAGAGACTAATTCCTCAGTTGCTTGTTTTGTTTGACTATCAGTCCAAAACGCAAAGATACTTTATACTCGATTTTACAAGTGTAAAGAAAATATTGATACACTTGAGTATCATGATATTGTTTTGTGATAGTGTATTGCTTCTAAAAAACAATATCAATTTTTACTTGTTAACAGATTTTTTGAAAATTTGTTTACCAAAAGAATCCTGTAAAAACTTTCATTTAATCTTTTTTTAATTGATTTTTTTATTTTTTAAAGTGAATTCCTTTGCTCATTTTATATATACGCTATAGCGTTGAATGGTACTAGGACGGTTATAAATAATAATGCAGATCCCACTGTTCTGATTATAAAGTTAACTTTTTAATGCCTATGGTAGTGTGTTCTTTATACTGAGACAGTTTTCCTTAAAGGGATAGTGCACCCAAAAATGAAAATTCAGCCATTATCTACTCACCCATATGCCGATGGAGGCCCTGTTGAAGTTTTAGAGTCCTCACATCCCTTGCAGAGATTGGCGGGGAGAGCGGCTAGCACACCTATTAGCAGACGGCGCCCCAGTCTAACATCCAAGAACACAAAATTGAATCCACAAAGTATCTCCATACTGCTCATCCGTAGTGATCCAAGTGTGCTGCAGCCCCAACATAAAAAGTTGTTTCGAAAAACGTCATATGAACTCTGTTTTTAGCCTCACTGTAGCCTGTAGCTCTGACTGCTTCTCTGTGCTCCGCGCTCACGTGTGCGTGCTCAGGGTGATCGGTGATGCAGAGTCTCTGAAGAGCAGCAGTCTCGTCAGTACTGATGTCCAGATTCTCAAGTGCAGGCATCGCCAATTCCCAGTCTGAGCAGCAAATACTTTCCTCATCCGTTGGCATTGCTTTGCATTTGAAACAACTACACCACCAGATTTCCAGTGCTCGACTCCGGTATTCTGCGGCTGGCTGAGGGTTAGGCTCATGAGCTGCGGCGGCTGCTTCGTCCAGTAGCCTGAGTTCCACGTCCATATACTCAGGCTCAAACAAATACGGCTCAACAAAGAAATGCTGTTCCTCCTCAATTTCAAAGTCTTCAGACATGTTGGGCTGTCCTTTGCTAAAAGACCATAGTGCAAATTATCTTTTAGCTCTTTGGTTACTGTTGTCTGTCCCTGCGGTGCACGTGTCACGTGATGTAAACACGGGTGAGCAAAGCTCATGCTTTCGCTGGTCTCGCGTAGGCGCGCACACGTGAACGCGCACACGGGAACTTTTTATGTCGGGGCTGCAGCACACTTGGATCACTATGGATGAGCAGTATGGAGATACTTTGTGGATTCAATTTTGTGTTCTTGGACGTTAGTCTGGGGCGCAGTCTACCATTAGCTGTGCTAGCCGCTGCCCCCGCCGATCTCCGCAAGGGATGTGAGGACTCTAAAACTTCACCAGGGCCTTCATCGGCATATGGGTGAGTAGATAATGGCTGAATTTTCATTTTTGGGTGCACTATCCCTTTATATTGCAATGTATCACAATTTATTAAATCATAACCCTTGTATCATGATATGTATTGTATCGCCAGATTCTTGCCAATACACACCCCTATTCAATTGTATAAAACAAGTACTCCATATCCACACATTTGAGAAGAGAAAGAACCAGAATCAGCATTTGGCAATCGATTAGTTGTCTCGGCACAAACTGAATATTACTTTATGATTTCAGAAGTGAATTGCATTTAAAAATTTATTTAAAAAATAATACAAATCTTGCAAATTTAAATGAAGTTGTCTCCATAGCAAATCAATTCAGCTAAAAAGTTGTGTAAAATACTATTTGGACATTTTTCCTTTGAAAAGTGGCTATCATATAAAGGCAGTAATGCACTCCTAGATGTTCTCGTGTGGGAGTACGGAGTGTCGCTGAGAAGATGACATTCCAGCTGAAACATCTATGACTCTTGTCTCTCAGGACATCTTGTCACGATTACCACTTGAATCTTCCAATGAAATCAATATCTTACAGTGTTTTAGTGAGGATTAGTCACAGCAGTGCAATTTATTTTAAAAAAAAACATTTTCCTCCTCTGGCCTCTCTTTTGACCCTCTCACTGGTCACAACCTCCTGCTCTGGGAATCTTTTTACTTCTCTCCTCATTTTGCTCTCACTCACTATTAATCATACCAACTGTATGACTCACTGCTCCCCCTCAGAGCCAGGGCCTGTAAATTCACAAAATACAACCTCATAAAAATGACATCACATGCAGTGTCAGCTTCTCTGCCCAGTCTGTCCACAAGAATAACATTTCTAAAAGAATTAATAAAATTTAGCATGAATCGAGTACAGTGATTATGATCTTAAAGCACACACACACACACACACACACACACACACACACACACAAAATCCTAGGAAAAAAAGGTTTTCTGAAAAAGACGTCTTTATTCTTTCAGGCGATTGAGTCAACGGCCGACAGCAGAGGAACTGGAACAGAGGAACATACTCAAACGTGAGTAACTTAATGCATGCAGTAGGAGAGAAGAAAATACATAATGATAATTCCTGTGTGATCAATCTGTCTTTTCTCTTTCTTCCAGCTCGAAATGATCTGGAGGAGCAGGAGGAGAAGAGGGAGATCAAGAGACATTTGTCCAAAAAGGTAAGACAGAGGTGGAGATGGACATAGGGTCTTTTCATCAGTTTATGACCCTTGCAGGAAATATGAATATGGTTTCCGTGGTGACCAAGCTGCCACCCTTCACATTGTAGCCATTTGAAAGGATGATAGCATTATTTGTTACATCATCCTCTTATTTTGTGGTGTGTGTGTGTGTGTGTGTGCCCGCGCGTGTGTGTGAGTTATCGTCTTCATCTCAGTGGCAATTTCAGGACTGTCTCTGTTATTGCACGGTAATGATGATATTAAATTATGGGTATTGATGGATGAAGCCACTAACCCACTGCAGAAAAATATTCATTTCATAGATTTCTTTGTTCGGTTGCATACATATATTTCTAAACTTTGTCTTTAAAAATAATCTAGTCAATAATCCCTTTTAAATTTAATATTTATTTTTTATATAAAAAAATTCTTATGTTCCCTTTGTTTTGAATTACTGTTTACTAGAAAAAACATGGACAATTATGAGGTACACATTTATATTTCAGTACATTTGAGGCAGAGGCAGATTTAAGAAATTAAGTTTCCTATTAATTAAGAAAAAAACTTTTTACATTAGATTGTGCATTCTTCAGTGCTTTCTAGTTTTTTTTATTGGGTATTCAACTTAAGTTACACAAAGAAAAAATAATAGAAAAGAGGATTGTTCTTTGTCTTTCATATTTTATAAAATTTAAAAAGCAAATTATCTATACATTGCACATAAAAAAGAATGTTTTCCCCATATTTTTTAACACAAGCAAAGAGAAATGAGCCAGCTACTCCCCATTAACATAACCCTCAAAAATTAGCTGTCATTCCTGCACAGACACATGTTTGTCAGCATGCATGTTGCAGCGCATGAGCTACTGACACCCATCCTTGCTTGCACCCACTAGCTCAGCCAGAGGCCCACAGTAGAGGAGCTGAGAGAGGCCAAGATCCTCATCCGCTTCAGTGACTACGTGGAGGTGGCTGAGGCTCAGGACTACGACAGGAGAGCAGACAAGCCATGGACTCGTCTGACTGCTGCTGATAAGGTTGACTTAACAAACACACACAACAAATCCAAAGAATGCTTCACTAACTCTGGATTTACCGGTAAGTCATCTGTACATACATACTGTGTAAATACGTGTCTCTTTGTGTGCTGTTCAGGCTGCCATCAGGAAAGAACTAAATGAGTTTAAAAGCACAGAGATGGAGGTGCATGAGTCGAGCCGTCATCTGACCAGGTAAGATCAGGGTATATGCAGGAATGCTGAAGTTCAATTTCATGCATTATTAGAGTTGTTAAAAAAGTCATACTGTACTATGACGTTTTATGACATACTACATTATGACTTTTTAATGAAATGTTTATGACATGTTATACTAAGACTTGTATGACATTTTTATGACACACTGTACTATGACTTTTTTTATGACATACTATTCGAAGACTATGGCATTTATATGCAAATTTATACTTTGGCTTTTTAATGACATTTTTATGCTGTACTATACTATGACTTTTTTGTGGAGTTTTTATGGTTTTATGGTGACTTTTTTGGCATACTATACTACAATATAGCTGGTGAGAAGGCATAAATCAGCATGTCATCATATAGTATATATATTAAAATGCCAAAGAGAAGTCATAGTGAAGTACGTCATTAAAACAACTCACAGTGAAGTATTTTTATAGCTGTCGAAAAAAATCATTTTATTTATTTTATTTTTAAGAATATTTTTATGGCGTTTTTGCCTTTAATGGATAGAATAGCTGGGTGTGTGAAGGGGGAGAGGGAGAGGGAGTGGCACGCAGCAAAAGGACGCAAGCCAAAGTCGAACCGGGGCTGCTGCAGTGAGGACGGAGCCTCTCTGTACATGAGGCGCCTGCTCTAACCACTAAGCCACCAACCAAAATTTTATTTATTTATTTTTTTAAGATATTTTTTGGTCATTTTGCCTTTAATGGACAGGACAGGTAAGCATGAAAGGGGGAGAGAGAGAAGGGGAGGACATGCAGCAAAGGGCCACAGGCTAGATTTGAACCCGGGCCGCTGCAGCAACTGCCTTGTACATGGGGCGCCTGCTCTACCCACTAAGAAAAATTATTTTAAAGAAATTATAATAAAGTAAACCATAAAGAAAATAAGTCATTGTATACAATGTCTTATAAATAGCATTAAAAAGTCATAGTAAACGTTAAAGCCTCATGTGATAGCGGTGAAGTATGGTGCAGGACCACCCAACAGCATTTCTATGAAGTCACTCACTTGTCTTTTTGTACTGATCTCTTCCTGAAGGTTCCATCGGCCATAAGATGGATCAGTCAGACCTCGGGCTTGCTTTTTCACTCACACACACCAAGCCTCAAGTGTTCAGACTGCTACCTGCTGCCCTCATACTGCTAACAACTACCCTTTCCGGCGTTGACTTCAAACTGAAGGACTGGACATTAACACAGCCTGTGTACTGCGGTCATCGCAGGAACATGAGCAAACACTTTCAAAAGTACAAATGGATTAAACTCTCAACTGGCGTCTCCCCTCAGTGGAGATTTTACGGACTTCTTGATACTCAAAAGCTTTTCATTTTTTAGGATGAAGAGGTGGTGATTTGTTTACTTTGCAGCACTTTTGGTTTTGAACAAAGTTTTTGGAAGTCAAACACAGAATCTGTGCCAATTATAAAGATGGGAACAGAAGGAGGTAAAGATGGGACTTTGTTTTTACACAGAGATTTTCTTGCCTTTCACCATGTTCTCATTCTTCTTTTCTCAAATGAACTTTCTTTCCATGGGGCCATGCTTGTGTTGGCACAGTTTTGTTCCACAGATGACATCTCAATAATGATTTCTCATTTTGTGAGAATTAAAATCTTTACAACAGTTTATGCTGTTGTAGGCAGCTGAATCTTAAGCCAAAATGTCCTAAAATCCTAATCAGAGTCCCCAGATGCTCTCTACAAGCCAGTGACAGTAGAAATAAAATTCTCCTAATACATACACACCAATCAACTGAGCAATAATTTCAGATTTTTTCTTCATTTGTCCATCAGTTTATGGGCTGCATCCAAGAGCTCAAAACACTTTTCAGACTTCAGATCCCCTTTTTAAACCAAAGCAACTTGACTTGCTGTGGAAGTCGCGATCTTGAATGCATCCCAGAGTGACTGCTGTTGAGAGTTCAGTAACTCACTGTGTCGCTGTGCCTACAGTATTGTTTACAGGGATTTAAAAGTTGCCAAATTAACTTGTTTTTTGTTTGATACAGAATATCATCTGTAGGCACAGTAAAATGTTGCCGAACTCTCTGCCGAACTACAAGAAAAGAAAACATTTTTTTGTATTTCATTTTTTATTGTCTGAGACAAACCTTTGGAGGTACAGAATATGAAACCCTGCCACCTTACTTTTTGTTTTTTATTGTTTACAGTCCATACTAGGTTCATGAATTAGCAGTTTTGACCATATTATTGGGAGAACTGGTTGATCTGTTGTGTGTGTTCTGACTGTGTGTCTGAGTGAGTGTGTGTGTACGTACAAGCGTCGGTAACATTACTGTCTCTTGTATGTTTAAAAATGTTCTCAGAATTATAAGACTTGTACATAGCAAAGAAAGTAAGCGAGACTTTTCACGTTTTTTTGTAAAGCAGAAAAAACTGCATGTGGGTATTAATTTATTGTGAGTCTTCTATGATGTATGCAGTTTCTTAAAGAAAGAAACTTATTAAAAAAAATAAGTTTATGCTTCCTTGCCTTTTTCCAAACAGACTCTGTGCATCCGCTGTGTACTGCAGCTGTTTACAGTGTTCATGTGGTCAAGTCCTCTCCACAGATAGTTCATCATATTCTTGGGGGAAAGCTGGGAACCTTCTTGTCAATATGAAAATTGGCTCCCAAGTCCTCGTGCTTATTGGAAGTAGCCTGTGATGAGTTTTCAGTTCAGTCATGCGGAGACAAATCCCCACTGACACAGTCTGTTGGTCTCTCAGTGGAGTTAAGAGCCAATCCTGGTTCATCTTGTCAAAGCACCTCAACTCTGAGCCCAGACGTTTGTGGAGCTTTGTGGAGCTATACAGCGTGCACTGGAGTTCCACAATATTTGTGCCACAAGTCAATGGCTTTAGTCACAATGGCGTCTGTGTTTTCCTGTGGTATCTAGAAGGGAACAGTTATTGAGAGGCTTTATATGGGCACCTTCTATAAAGACAAAAACAATGCCTTTCTGTTTGCTGTATGTTATGCTGTCATCTACTCACATTGCACAGAAACTTGACCACGCCTTCAGGCCGGTTGATACCCATCAATATGATTTTATAGCTGAGCAGAATCTCCAAGGCCACAAACACCAGGATCTTACAGGAGCCGCTGATCACCTTGTCCCACACCCTAAAAATAAGCAAAGGGCTCAGTTAATTTGAGCAGTATGAAGAACTGAAGGTATACAGAAAGTCTCATCATCTGTAGAAAACAAATTAGCTCAAGAAGGATACATGTTTAATTTTTGAAGGCTTGTGCAAAATGTATTTGACCATAGTAACATTGTTTGTGCTAAGCAACAAATCAAGACACTGAACTTTAACCGGGCATTTGTATTCTGCTGCAAATGACTTTTCTTTGGTAATCAAGACAATTTGTCTCTTCTTGCTGTTGTGCCCAAAGCTACATGTCTGAATGCAGCTACAGTCCAGTCCTGAATGCAGGATCAGACTCAGTGGAGGAAATACCCAGATCATTTACTTATCAATGCCTAGAGAAGAATACTTAAGGTGAACCTGATGGCATCAGTGTTTGATTTGTAAAATCAACCGACCGGGCAAGTTGGTCAGAGATCTACTTGCCCGAAGTCAGTTTTTACTTGCCCTATAAAAACTGTTTACTTTAAGCGGCTATCAAATAACAAAGACTGCAGTTATTTTTATGTTACGTAATCTTTATTCACACTGTATTTATTAATTAAAACAACATATGTCACGTATTGTAGCTTAATTCCTACACAAAAATGACAGTGTCAGGGCTTAAAGTGAAAAATTTGTCAATCATTCTCCGTCTATAATTTTGCACCCTACTTGAGCCATGCCCACCTCTATTTATTTTTCACCCCTCTCTCCAGTTCTGCTGTATTAACACCGGGTATAATATATTTTGCTTCCATTTCTCTGCCCTGCTCTACTCTACTTCAACGCTACTTAGCTCTCTCTCTACTCTACCAGTAGACTACCACATCCACCTGTTGCACAAAACGCACACAACAGTGTTTCCCCTAGGATGGAGTTGTAGCAGCGGAGGTGAAGCACAAACTTTTTTGTATGCTTGCAAAGCACAGCCTGCTGGGATGTTTCTATGTATCTACTGGCACCAGAAGGGCTCTTTAGGACTAAGTACATACAGTACATGTGTGCACAGTAATGAGCAGGTGAAATGTCTGTCTAGCTTACATATGAGGTGTCTCAAGATTTAGGAACATACAATTTTATTGAATATAATAAAAGTAAAAAGTCACTTGACATGCTGCTGTTTTGTGCTATGACCTATTTAAGTGTTGGAAGTTGTTATTTATGTGACAACGCCTGAACGCAACACAAGCTCAGCATGAGTGCTGTGCTGCTCTGCTGTGCGAGCAGCGCGTTTGTCTGTGCGTAATCAGTCTGTCGATGGTTATTTAGGCTACACACTGTCCATAACAATAGCTTTGTCAGCTGATGAACTGCACCGGGCTCGGGGTCAGGTTTGGTCAGGAAAATGCGGCCGAGCCGCTCTAGCGTGATCACCTGTGTGTGTGGCGGAACTCCGCCGTGCACGATACAGAGAGCAGAGGAGAATTGTTAACGCGTGACCATGTAGAGACAGAAATGACACGATGACATAACACCATAAATAGTATATTGTTATGTTATTATATGAAGCGTCGGTCGTGCAAAATAATATCAATGGGGGCTGTGGGCAGGACATTGTTACACAGCTGTGCCTGTGACTTCAGGCAGAGAGACCGCTGCATCAGAGCAGAAGAGCACGTTTTAAAATACATTTATTTTATCAATTAGTTATTAACTTTTACTATTTTTAGCAACTTGCCCGATCAGACAAGTGAGTTGTTAGTTTACATGCCCGACCGTGAGTTTTACTTGCCCCGGGCAATCGGGCAATCCTTATTGTTGAGCCCTGTTAACATTTACATGCTACAAGACATCATGAGCAAAATAAGTAGTCAGTGCCAAGGCTGAGAACTTTCAGAATTCAGAATTGTTAAATATGCTTATGCTTATGTTACCTAACCAACGTTGTCTCCATGGTACGAACTTGTCAACTGTGACATCTTCCTGTCAAAGTGGCCATACCCCTAACTATGCATAACTTTGGGCCTTAATAACATTTAAATGGCTTCATTTTCCAACCCTAGAGGTTGTCGCTTGGTTCAGACTACACTAACCAAAATTCAACTATTAAGCCTCACAGATTATTTTGTTGGTGAATAAGTTTGCAACTTGCTTCATAAGGGCACAAGAGCAATGGCAAGCTACAGTTGGTCACGGTTAAGATAGTTGAGACCACTGGAAATGTGCTTCAAAGATCTTTCAAAAAAGCCTTAATATTATCATGGTAAACTACAAAGACAAATTTTGAAAATCTCACTGTGGAGAGGAATCTGGGCTGTGTGCTTATATCAGATTTGTGCTGCGGACAGCAAACTGACCTCTGCAGGCTTGATTCTGGCAGGCAGCCAGCAAAGCAGCGTCTGAACCAGAGGCTGTAGGGCAGCCGAGCCAGGGCTCCGGTGTTCTTCAGATGGTTCAGCAGCCGCGGTTCCTCCTGACTCAGATAATGCTCCAGGCTCTTCGGCTTCACCACAACAGAACAGACAGAAGGAGAGGAAAGTACAAAGTCTCAATTCACAGTGACGCAGATTACAAAGTAATGTGATCCTGACTCCTGAGTCATGAGAACTTTGTCACATCTATTCTGTCATTTTATAAACTACATTTACACCATTACCATGATGCATGTTCAAAAGCAGAACTGTAAAGAAAACAAGTCTCTTAAAAAAAGGAGTAAAGTTGACTCACCAATACAAAGTCTTCAATTCATTTTGCTACTTCTGTGAACAATAACTCTTGTCAATGTCTGGTTTTGCTGCTGCTTCCTTATAGTCACTGAGCAAAGCAGCAACATGATATATGTTGCTTTTCCCATGATCAGTTCAGGTGTGTTCTTTTTTGCTTTAGAATTTGATGAAAATCAAAAATCTTAGCATGGTGACCACATGCTATTTTTTGAGAGCTTTGTTTGAAGCATAATCATCCACTAATGAAGGCCACAAGATGTTGACGAAAGTTTGAAAAAAAAAACATCCTGTCAGCCAAGAATTTTCAATCCAACTACTATGTTACAGCTCATTAATAACCCTTCAAGTTCAGTTTGCTTTTAAACAACATTTTTACATTTTATGTTAAGTTAAATATAACTTACAAGGTGGGGTACCGAGTCTCCGAACTTTGTGTGGAACTGATTAACGAAACACTTGATCAGCCAATAGCAGTCGATAGGATCGTCTACGATCTCCTCCATTGCTCGACTGATGGAGAGGAAGTCATCGTTCTCTTCATCCTGGAAGAAAAGAACAACAACATGACAGTATTATACACTGCAGCACCAAGGAATAAAGGAAGCAAACGGAAACCCAACTACTAGCATGGTAGTATCACTGACAACATTTACAGAACACACCTGCAAAAACTGCCACAATCATCACATAAGATACCTCTGTATTCTTCAGACATAACTGAAACTCGAGTCAGAAAAGAGACAATTATTAGATGGAAAGTATTTTTATATTAAATATATTTTCTTATTTCAGTAACTGTGAGTCACACAAAAAAAAAACATGCATAGTTTAAAAAGGCCAAACACCACCGAGCTCTACACTGAAGGCAGACATCTCCAGGATGATTTGGACACATTCCCACTGCCAAATGTGAGTCTGTGTGATTTCCATGTTTAATTATGGTCGCATATATATCTACTTAGTGGGTTACTGAAGTGGAACTGACAACACAAAGAGTTTTGTGCTAAAGATTGTACCTGATGTCCTATCATTTTCCACTAAGGCTTTGAGGTATGGTTCATTATTTAAATGGTACCAGAACCCTGAACTTGCACATGTGAATATAATTAGACCATCAGCTAAGAATCTAAAATGTTGTTGAATGTTTCGGCACTACGTTCAACTCGGATCAAGGTGCCAGCTGATGCCGTTTTTCACCATTTATCATCTAATGTTTTTCTCTATCAGTCTCAGACATGTCAACAGTACACTGGATGTGCTTCGTCTTACCGGGGCAGAGGTCTCAGAGCACCGTGGGAGCACCTGGCTCTCCAGCTGGAACATGCGCAGGTAGACGTGGGTGGAGGGTGTGGACGAGTTGATGTATCTCATCACCTCCAGAGCCTCCAGGATGTCCTGGTACTGCTCCTTCCTGTAGCCTCCCACCAGAGTGTGAGAGTCACTGTGGGGAGGTAGGATGCCTGCAAGAACAGGAGAATCAGTTCATATGCAATTTGGAAATGCAAGCTCTTGTGTCTTATGTGTGAATGCGGGTGTATGTGTCTGTCTTACCCAACAAAACTTTCCACACATGAATTCTGTACATAGAGGGGAGGGGGAACCTCTGACTGAAGGTGCTCAGCTTTTCTAGATCTGACAGAAGAGAAAAAACAGTGGTAACAGGACAAAACCTGACTTCACCTACATACATCAAAACTCAACCACAAACCAATGAGAAATGGGAGGTCGTGGGAATAAAAATCTGTAGATACACTGGTGCTAATACGTAATACGAATGTATTATGAGTCTTACTACCATCACTGATGGTACATGCTCATGTGACAACACCAATAGTTTAATTCAATTTCATTTCATCTAATCTAATTTCATTTCATTTAGTCGTTTTCCAACTTATACAACTCAAACACACACAACAATAAATAAACTAATAATAAATAACAATAATAAGCCATTGCTTTTGAGGCAGTGACAAACCAAAGCAAATTTTGCTGACCGAAATGGTGTGGGCTGAAGCCTCAGCTTATTGCACCTACCCCATCTACATTAATAGTCCTGATTCCTTTTTTTTTTTGGAAAGATATTTTTTGGGGCATTTTTAAGCCTTTAATCGATAGGAGAGACTAGTGTGAAAGGGGGAGAGAGGGAGTGACATGCAGCAAAGGCCACAGGCTGGAGTCGAACCCGGGCCGCTGCGGCAACAGCCTTGTACATGGGGCACCTGCTCTACCACTAAGCCACCCCAATAGTCCTGATTCCTGAACTGTTCTCTTTAGATCTCTACAATAAAAATAAAAGAAACAAGCAAAATAAAAGATATGTACATTAAGTATACCCACAGGTGTAGTTATTAAGTCCACAAGATCTCTATATTTGAGAGCATGTGACTTTACAAATAATTTGTTGGTCAGTTGGTTTGTGATAATCAGCTCTGTTTACAATTCTTATAGCTCTCTTCTGTAGCATAAAATTGGATTTGTGATTGTTTTGTTTGCATTTCCTCAAACCTCCACACAGCAGGTAATGTATGGAACGATAAAAGAATGATACAATATATGTAATGACTAAACTGAGGATGTATGTTTTGTGCAATGTTGCAACAGACTTCAGCATTTATGTCTTTATTTGATTTATGTGGTTTCTGGCATAGTTTGTAGTCTATTACACCTCCCAAAAAAGTATTTCCACTCATTATTTTTATTTATTATTATTACAAGACTGGTACTGGGTTGTGGATTCTTCAAAATCCAGATATTATAAATTTAGTTTTTTTTTTAATTTTTTTTTATTTAACAACAACTAATTAATATCAAACCATCATTTTGAAGTTTTCAATTATATTTCCACTGCCTCCAGACGCTGCTCATATTCTTCACCATAACAAAATAAATTTGTGTACACTATCCCCAAACCATTGGTTCCAAACTGTTCAAGCCATTGGGTCCAGATTTCTCCTTAGTAATGACTTCAAGGTCCACACAGTGTAATACAGTCAGCATCATACTTGAGTTTGGCCATGTGGTCCAGCTAGTATGCTGTCTCTATAAGTAGCTGTCCATTAGTAACTCTCTCTGCAACAGAAAACGGTACCTCAGAATAAAAGCTCCATCCCAGAAATTCACTGTACTTAAAAATAAAGTGTTCTTGCAGTCCATTCAGAATGGACCCACGACCCACCAGTTAGGAAGCACTGCCTTAAACCATTTTTCTCCAGCATGTAAGCCATGTTCAGATAGAAATGTTTGTTTTATGAATTGTTACCTACCAAGAGGATTATCCTTGAGCAGTATTTCCAGAGATTTCTTCTCCTCCACCCCTCTGAAGCCGACTTTCTCATAATATGCAGAGCGGAAATTTCTCTGAGGGTCATCCGCCATACTTCGACCTGGTCAGTGAGTTTTACAGTTCATTGAATTAGCAGTGGCATGATACAGAGGCCAAAAGCTGCCTAAAATAACATTTGGTCTTTAGCTTGCTATTATTTATTTTGATAGCCTGTGATGGAATAAGTTACATTTACTCAAGTACTTTGCTTAAGTACAGATTTGAAGTACTTGTGAGAGAGCTAAAGACTAGAGACCTCATGATATGCAACAGTATGACAATCACATGGGACATTTTTTCGCATTGCGTTCATCTTCATGTAAATTTTCCTGTTTATATTTACCTGCTTAAATCGACGTTAACATTTACCAGAGGATTTTTACTGTTTGGTATTACTGCTTTTACTTAAAGAATGTAAATACCCCCTCCACCTCTGCTGAGAGTATATGGTGCATACTGTGTTATATCATCACACATACGATTAACGTTACAGTAACTAATATGCAACTTAAGGTAATTTTAAGGAGAAAAACATTAGAAAACACAACGTGATAAATCCTTCCATCCAGCAAATGATTCAGAGCGGGCCTAATGACAGCACCAAGCAGTCTTTTGTTTAGGTAAATTACATCACTTGTATCTGTTACGTTAGCAGCATGGAGTGATAAATGTTTGTGGTATTAAAATACGTGCTCCTACCTTGAACAGGTGTGTTTCACGCAGACTGTGTTGCTCTAAGCTAAATTAGTTAGCTAAATTCATAACTTCAGCTAACGAGCTAACGTTAACGTTAGCTACAGAGCCCAACAAGTACGCAGCTTTTACAACTGTAATATTAACGGCAAAAGCACTCTGCTAACTGAAACGTAGGTGTACGTCGTAACACTGTGGACAAATATCAAATGTCTAAAAATGAATGTATGACTTGGTCTGCTAGCGACATGCTAACCACTGTCGTTGTTGTCATTAGGATACTTCCGGTTAGCACTTTCGAAATAAAATAATGAACTACCAGTAAAACTGAAAATTAAATGAAAAATCGACTTGAATATATGTTTATTCTTTGACAATGTCTATAGTATCAATAATAAAATCAACCCAGTCAGGATAATTTACCTCTTTCCCGTCTACAATAAAACTGAAGTACACCACAAACCAAGCAACTAGTAAAGGTCCCAAATATGCTATTATTTTGAAGGCAACTTCAAAGCAATGCAGGCATATTTTCCGGTGTCATGTTCTCCACGCCCCACTGCCTCTTGCCACTGTGACAATTATCTTCATTCGTAACCTAATTCTAAAGAGGTGAGGTGAAGACGGCTCGTTTTGTAACACAAACGCACATTAGAACTTAGATAACACTTGGCCGACCTAAAGGGGAACACCACCTAAATTAAGAATCCCCATGTTATTTCCATGGCTATGCGAAGTTCAATCAATATTTGTGAAAATCAGCTACTCTCTCTCTCAAAGCCAGAAACCAGAGATGTATGTCTCAAACTTGTGATTTCATAGGGTATAAGTTCTGGAACTGCTCCAGATACAATGAATGGGAGCCTGATTTTGGGGACCCACAGAATGTTTGTTTTCTTTATTATAACCAAGTGAGTTTTTTTCTGTTGTAGTGTTCTCAGTTCTTAAGCAGAAATGTAGTTAGGATGGGCCCCAGTGCACGCTATTATGACGGGCCCTTGTGCTCCCTAGTTACTAGTTACAGATGTTTGGAAATTTTAGGCATATATTTATGTTACCAACAGTGTGTCTTACTGCCACTTGTATGTTATATCAACTTAAAGATGCTGCTTGTCAGTCGAGAGTTTTTGCACCTAAACTAGCTGCTGTAAATCGTATCGTCTTGTTGCATGATTAAACAGAGACTTGATGCTGGATGACATCAACATACATAGCACCCAGCAATCATCATTACATATCTGTATATGACAAAAACTACAAAAGAAAGTAGTAAATTTTAACATGAACTCAGTATTTTTCATAGTTAAATTATAGGTTTTTTATATATTTTATGCAGAATGAGCACATAATTTTGTTGTAGGCTAGATTGACACGTATATACAAAAACAGAAATCCATGATGGGTATGGGTTTCCCTTTTGGTAGGCATATAGAAAATCACACAGTTTTTCATTTAACATGAGTTCTTTGAACACAGGCATATTTCCAGGTGGCAGTCGCACCCCTCCACCCCATGGGCCCCAGTGCAACTGCTCTGCCTGCACCTACGCCCCTGTATGTACTCACAACATTCCCCTGGGTGCTCATAGTGTCATTTATAATCATCTTTGTCAATTCACTGTCTATGGAGCAGCTCCGCCCTTTATACCTTATGACATCACAAATTTGAGCTTTAGCTCCCCCCCCAAAGGATAATGGTATTTATTTACTGGGGAAAGAGCTTTAACAAGTGCTTTTCAGTAGGCTAAACAGACTATGTATCCACTGTCATGTGAAAACATGATACCAATGCAAACATTTTGCTCACGCATAATTAGCCCTCATCTTATAATTACTTAGAACTACCTGTATACAGGAAAATATTGATGATATCTTGCATGTAGGCTTCTGCCCTATAACTTAATAAAGTGAACTTTTGCACATTCCATGGACATTTGAGACAGTCCTGTATGGAATTGTACAACTCTTTGTATGTTGTATATTTTTCTTCAGATTCTGATTGTAAATTTTTCTATTCTATATTTGTTTCTTAACTTTGCAGTACTTTTTTTCATTTTCTCTTGCACCGTAACACCAAGGCAATTCCTTGCATGTGAAAACCTCCTTGGCAATAATCCTGACTTTGATGTAGCTTTTAAAAGTGTTGCATTAAAATTGACCAGACGCAATAAGAAGTCATCAATCCATGTAAGCAAAAGACTCAAAGGTTAGTGTTTATTTTGAGATACTGAGAAACTTTTACAAGACCAGAAGCACTAAACAGCAAAAACCAATGTTTAACTGATTTAGTAAAAAAGTAGTTAAGCTAATATATGTAACCCAACCTTTGCTTCCCTTTCCTCACAAAACAGGCATTTTAGATGTAGATTAAATATAAACCTAATACCATCATGTTAACAATCTAAAGCTTAAAAAGAAATTACATTCCATGAAGATTTTAACAACATTGGTCAAATAGGCCTATGTGTATGCAAAAATATGGCAAACATTTCTGAACCTAGCCTAGTAGGGGCACCAGCAGCTTTGCTAACATACATTTTATTTTCAATCCATATACCTGAAGATGGCTGCCATTAATACTTTAGTTTCCACAAAAAATATCTAGGCAGTGTTCATTGTCATTACCTTTTGAACTATAGCATTTTAAAAGCATAGCAACACCAAAGCTAAAATCTAAAACTATGCAAAAAGATTAAGAACATGATCTTCAGATGATGTTATCTTTAAATTCTTCTCCTTGTGTACAATACACACAAGCTCTTTTCTAAACAATCAGTATACTCTTAACAGATTTATTTGCAAGTATGAATGTGCAGAACATTTTTTGATTTATTTGGCAGATGTTGAGGAGAAAGTGGCGTAGCTAGTATGACTTAAGGTGGTGCGACTAGTTGATGAGTTACTGGGGGAGCCTAGGTCCACACTGCTCCTGCGGGAGCCTCGTCGTGAGCCACTCCTGGAGCCAGTGGTGGATCCTGGGGCAGAGGACACATTGTAAGGACTGCTGATCCCTCTGGAAGACTCGGCTGATGCCTGGAGCATTTTCACCCCGCTGCTTTCCTCCACCAGGCAATTATCCAGAGCATCCTTGTAAGAGATCTTTAGTTTGCTCTTGGGGCAGGTCAGGTTCTTTGTTTGCTGTCTGGTGTCTTGGAGCTTCTGGGCTGCTCTCCCATCCAGCCAGCCCATTTTCACAGCTTCTTCTAAGGTTCTTCTACACCCCATTTCTGGGTCATAAAGTCCCCCTGTTACATACTGGAACTCCAGGAATCTCTGCCCTGCCTCATATGGCAGCCACATCTCCTTCATAGCCTGAGCAGCAGACATCTTCTTCCTGTTTTTTACATCCTCAAAGCCAAAAAAGGCTTTTTGGGCAGGCTTAAGCTTAGTTGCCATGTCGTCATTTATTATGCCCTGGCGGGTGGCCTCTTGGATGCTGAGCCTACGGCCATTTGTGGGATTGATGATTCCTCCAGTGCAGGCCTGAGCCTCCAGCAGTCTCTGGGCAGTGATGGAATCCACCAGACCACGATCTAGAGCCTCTGTGATGGATATCTTCTCTATAGTATCTGTGTCAAAGATGGCACCCACAGGTTCCTGTTCACCCACTGTTTCAACAGGAGAGGCCAGGGTGAATGATATGCTGGATATACCCCTAAAGGAATCAGGTGAATCTTGACCTACACTGCTAAATGAGGTGCTTCGCTCGGTGACAGTGGTGGTTCTTGTTGATGTCACCTTGGAGAGAGTAGGTGATAAGGGTCTTGACAGGGCTGATGATGATGACGATGATGATGATGTCACTGACAATGGAATTGACGCTGCTGATGTTCTCAAAGTCGATGATGATGTCACTGAAGATGCTCCTGGGGATGCTGATGTTTTTGAAGTTGATGATGATGATGTCACTGAAGATGTACCTGGGGATGCTGATGTTCTTGAAGTTGATGATGATGATGATGTCATTGAAGATGTACCTGGAAATGCTGATGTTCTTGAAGTTGATGATGATGAAGATAATGATGATGATCCATGTTTGGTCTTGTTGCTGATGATATCTGCAAACTGAGTAAGATTGATGGTACGTGATCTGTACCGATCTAGATCCGATTGATCAATTACTCCTTTTTCAATCAGCTCGGTAATATCATACTGTCTTCCAGTCTTCTTGTCATTAATGACAAACTGTATGGAACCATCTGGAGCAGTGATAGTGATCTCTTCCCACTCACACTCCTGCTCAGACAGCTCAATGAAGGTATCATAGTCAATATACCCTTTGTCATATGCCTCACGCACTGTCATCTCTTTATTAGTCGCTGGATCCACAATTATCACTCTCCTCTTTCTCCGAGTGTTCTTTTGAGTCGACTCTAGCTTTTTCTTGTCTAAGATAGGTAAAAGAATGAGGCCAGTCTTCTTATCTGTAGTACAGAGTTTCTTAAGCTCCATGTAAGTTAGGTTTTCCTCCGTGTTGGGGTCAAAGAAACCCTTAGTATCAACATTCTGATTGGTCAAGATATTGTTCATTTCCTTATCAAAGTAACCTCTCTTGTAGGCTACATTAACGTCAATACGATGGCTGTGTTCAGGATCAATTATACCACCACTGGCAATCTGGGCCTCCAGTAGACGGATGCCATGACCTTTCTCAACTAGACCTCTCTCTATGGCCTGAAAGAGGGAGATAACCTTGTCAGTACCAGGAAGTTTGTAACCAGTCACAGCCCTCTCTGCTGATAGCAGGTTGTCCTTAAACTCTGGTCCAAACAGTCTTTTGTTGTAGGCATCAGTAACAGTCAGGTATTGGTTGTTGACAGGATCAACTATAAAACCTGAGGCAGCCTGAGCCTCAAGCAGTTCCAAAGTAGTCCCAGGTCGCAACAGTCCATCTTTCATGGCCTGATAGAAGGGCATCACCTTATCACTGGCCTCATCATAAACTCCTGCTATGCAGGTGGAACCTCTCAGGTAGGAGTGCAGGCGGTCTTCAATGTCCTGGCTCGTCAATCTGCCCTCCCTCAGTTGGTCCATATCTGACCGGTCTAATAAGTTTGCATCCACTAGATCTTTGACCAACACCTGGCCCCTGAGCCCCTGTAAAGTTAATGGCTTTTTGGGTTCAGGAAGAAGCAAAAGACCTGTGTTCCGATCTGCTTTGCATTTTTTCTTCAGTGATACATAAGTAGCTGGTTGTTGTGTGTCTGGGTCCAGATAACACTCAGGATACTGATTCAGGGCCTGGTAAAGGTCCTCATCTATGAGATCCCTATCCATAGCAATGTCTTTGGGGAGGAATAAACCAAGGGCAGGGTCCAAAATGCCACCTACAGACTCCTGAGCCTGGAGTATACGTAGAGCTGTATCCTTGTCAATTAATCCCTTCTTCATGGCTTGGCCAGCTGACAGGAGCTTGCCCGTATTTGGGTCTCTGTAACCTATAGTTGCAGATTCAGCTGCAAATAACTTTGATTCATCTTCCTTATCCACTACTCCTCTGGCACACGCTTCCTTTACAGTCAACCTCTGATTAGTTCTGACGTCAACGATGTTGCCTGTTGCTGCCTGAGCATCCAGTAGCATGTCAGCACTTTCAGCAGACATAATTTTCTTTTTCTTGGCTTCTGTAAAAGTCATTTTCCCTTGAGGTCCAGCTGCAACACCAGAAATTGACCCAGTCCCCTTCAGAAAGACCCTCTTATCCACAGACACCTCTGAGACAGTTTTCTCCCCCTTGATTAGTTTGTTGAATGTTAGTTTGTCCAGGACCCCACAATCAAGCAACTGTTGTGCTGTAACTGTCTTACGGACAGCCTCAAAGAGTAGTTTGGAGGGGTCAAACTTCTCAGAGACTGGCAAAAGTTGGAGGCTTGCTTGAGGCTCTGTCTTGCATCTTTCCTTCAATGTTCCATAGCTGGCATCACACTCAGTTTCTGGGTCAAGGTAACAAGCAGGACTCTGGTTTAGAGATTGACGGAGGTCCTCATCCAAAAGGTTATGTTTGATAGCTGCATCTTTGGGGAGGAACACACTGAGATTAGGATCTAGAATACCTCCCACAGACTCCTGGGCCTGCAGCAGGCGTAGCCCAGTCTCTCTGTCAATCATTCCCTTCTTCATGGCCTCAAACACTGAAAGAGGCTTTGCTGTGCCAGAATCTTTGTAGCCCACAGCTGCAGCCTCTGCTGCCAATAATCTGTCACGATCCCTAATATCCACCACTCCTCTGGCACATGCCTCCTCTACTGTCAGCTTTTGATTAGTTTTAGGATCAATGATGTGGCCTGTGGCAGCCTGGGCTTCGAGCAGCAAATCAGCACATTCTGGGGGCAGGATCATTTGTTTCTTGGCTTCTGACAAAGACATTTTTCCTTGACGTCCAGCTGCTACCCCAGCAATGGGCCCAGTCCCCTTTAGATAGACTGTTTTTTCCACAGACACCTCTGGGACAGTTTTCTCCCCTTTCACTAGCTGGTCAAATGTTGGCTTGTCAAGGACTCCACATTCAAACAACTGCTGTGCTGAGACTGGCTTGCGGATTCCATCAAACATCAGTTTGGAAGGGTCTTTCCTCTCAGTGATTGGAAGAAGTATTTGGCCTGTGTGAGACTCTGTTTTGCTTCTCTTCTTTAATGCCCCATAACTCGTATCACGCTCTGTGTCTGGGTCGAGGTAACAAGCAGGACTCTGATTTAGAGCATGACAGAGGTTTTCATCCAAAAGGTTACGTTTGATAGCTGCATCTTTGGGGAGGAACACACTGAGTTTGGGATCTAGAATACCTCCTGCAGACTCCTGGGCCTGCAGCAGGCGTAGCCCTGTCTTCTTGTCAATTATTCCCTTCTTCATGGCCTCAAACACTGAAAGAGGCTTTGCTGTGCCAGAATCTTTGTAGCCCACAGCTGCAGCCTCTGCTGCCAATAATCTGTCTTGATCCCTAAAATCCACCATTCCTCTAGCACATGCCTCCTCTACTGTCAGCTTTTGATTAGTTTTAGGGTCAATGATGTGGCCTGTGGCAGCCTGGGCTTCGAGCAGCAAATCAGCACATTCTGGGGGCAGGATCATTTGTTTCTTGGCTTCTGACAAAGACATTTTTCCTTGATGTCCAGCCATCACCCCGGCAATGGGCCCAGTCCCTTTTAGATAGACTGTTTTTTCCACAGACACCTCTGGGACAGTTTTCTCCCCTTTCACTAGCTGGTCAAATGTTGGCTTGTCAAGGACTCCACATTCAAACAACTGCTGTGCTGAGACTGGCTTGCGGATTCCATCAAACATTAGTTTGGAGGCGTCATTCCTCTTTGTGATTGGCAGAAGTATTTGGCCTGTGTGAGACTCTGTTTTGCTTCTCTTCTTTAAAGCCCCATAGCTAGTATCACGCTCTGTGTCTGGGTCAAGGTAACAAGCGGGACTCTGGTTTAGAGCATGACGGAGGTCCTCATCCAAAAGATTACGCTTAATAGCTGTATCTTTGGGGAGGAAAACACTGAGATTTGGATCTAGAATACCTCCCACAGACTCCTGGGCCTGCAGCAGACGTAGCCCAGTCTTCTTGTCAATTTGCCCTTTCTTCATGGCCTCAAACACTGAGAGAGGCTTGGCTGTACTAGGATCCTTGTAGCCCACAGCAGCAGCCTCCGCTGCCAATAATCTGTCTCTATCCCTGGTGTCCACTACTCCTCTCGCACATGCCTCCTCTACTGTCAGCTTCTGATTAGTCTGAGGATCAATGATGTGGCCTGTGGAAGCCTGGGCTTCCAGTAGCAAATCTGCACTTTCCTGGGGCATAAGCACCTGTTTCTTGGCTTCTGACAAAGACATTTTTCCTTGACGTCCAGCTACCACTCCAGCAATGGGTCCTGTTCCCTTTAGATAGACTGTTTTTTCCACAGAAACCTCTGGGACAGTTTTCTCCCCTTTCACTAGCTGGTCAAATGTTGGCTTGTCAAGGACTCCACATTCAAACAACTGCTGTGCTGAGACTGGCTTGCGGATTCCGTCAAACATCAGATTAGAAGGGTCTTTCCTCTCAGTGATTGGAAGAAGTATCAGGCCTGTGTGAGACTCTGTTTTGCTTCTCTTCTTTAAAGCCCCATAGCTGGTATCATGCTCTGTGTCTGGATCAAGGTAGCAAGCAGGACTCTGGTTTAGAGCATGACGGAGGTCCTCATCCAAAAGATTACGCTTTATAGCTGTATCTTTGGGGAGGAACACACTGAGAATGGGATCAAGAATGCCCCCAGCAGACTCCTGGGCCTGCAGCAGGCGTAGCCCAGTCTTCTTGTCAATTAGTCCCTTCTTCATGGCCTCAAACACTGAAAGAGGCTTAGCTGTGCTAGGATCCCTGTAGCCCACAGCAGCAGCTTCTGCTGCTAACAGTCTATCCCGATCCCTATTGTCCACCACTCCTCTAGCACATGCTTCCTCTACTGTCAGCTTCTGATTGGTTGTGGGGTCAATGATGTGACCTGTGGCAGCCTGGGCGTCCAGTAGCAAATCTGCACTATCTGGGGGCATGAGCATCTGTTTCTTGGCCTCTGATAAGGACATTTTCCCTAAAGGTCCAGCTGCCACGCCAGCAATTGATCCAGTCCCCTTCAGAGAGACCTTCTTATCCTCAGACACCTCTGGGACAGTTTTCTCTCCCTTCATTAGTTTGCTGAACGTTGGTTTGTCCAGGACCCCACAATCAAGCAATTGCTGTGCTGTTACTGGCTTACGAACGCCATCAAAAATCAGTTTAGAAGGGTCTTTCCTCTCAGTGATGGGCAAAAGTAGAAGACCTGTGTGAGGCTCTGTTTTGCATCTTTTCTTCAGTGTTCCATAGCTGGCATCACACTCAGTTTCTGGGTCAAGGTAACACTTAGGACTCTGGTTTAGAGCTTGACGGAGGTTTTCATCCAAAAGGTTGCACTTGATAGCTGTATCTTTGGGAAGAAACACACTGAGAATGGGATCAAGAATGCCCCCAGCAGACTCCTGGGCCTGCAGCAGGCGTAGCCCAGTCTTCTTGTCAATTAGTCCCTTCTTCATGGCCTCAAACACTGAGAGAGGCTTGGCTGTGCTTGAGTCCTTGTATCCCACAGCAGCAGCCTCTGCTGCCAATAATCTGTCTCGATCCCTAACATCCACAATCCCTCTGGCACATGCCTCCTCTACGGTTAGCTTCTGATTGGTTCTTGGGTCGATGATGTGGCCTGTGGCAGCCTGGGCTTCCAGTAGCAAATCTGCACTATCTTCGGGCAGGAGCATTTGTTTCTTGGCTTCTAAGAAAGACATTTTGCCTTGACTTCCAGCTAAAATCCCAGCAATAGGCCCAGTCCCTTTAAGATTAATGTTTTTGTCTACAGACACCTCTGGGACATTTTTATTCCCCTTTTCTAGATCTTTAAATGTTGGCTTGTCCAGGACACCACAATCAAGCAGCTGCTTGGCTGTAACAGGTTTTCGAACACCATCAAAGACAAGTTTGGAGGGATCTACATTCTCAACAATAGGAAGAAGCAGAAGGCCTGTGTGTGGATCTACCTTGCATCTCCTCTTCATTGACATATAGGTTACACCTTCCTCACTTTCTGGGTCCAGGTAGAGCTCAGGCCTCTGATTCAAAACACGATATATGTCATCATTAATTAGGTTACGCTCAATGGCTGTGTCTTTGGGAAGGAACACACTGAGAATGGGGTCTAGGATGCCCCCCACAGACTCCTGAGCTTGTAGTAGACGCAGTGTCGTGTTCTTGTCAATCAGTCCTTTCTTCATGGCCTGAAATACTGACAGAGGTTTGCTTGTGCCAGGGTCATTATATCCTACAGCCGCAGCTTCTGCTGCTAGCAACCTCTCTTTGTCCTCCTCATCAACCACACCTTGATCACATGCCTCTTCAACTGTCAACTTCTGATTAGTTCTGGGATCAATTATGTGGCCTGTGGCAGCCTGAGCATCCAGTAGCAAGTCAACACTATCTGGTGGCAGCAGATTCTTTTTCTTGACTTCTGTGAAAGTCATTTTGTATAGGGGTCCAGTAATATACCCTGGATTTTTTGGACCTTCAATTACCACACCAGCTATTGGGCCTGTCCCTTTTAGGCTGACCTTCTTGTCGACAGACACATCAGGGACAGTCTTATGCCCCTTTACAAGCTGGCTAAATGTTGGTTTGTCCAAAACACCACAGTCAAGCAACTGGTTTGCTGTGACTGACTTACGGACTCCATCAAAAACCAGAGTGGAGGCATCCAAGGTTGGGGGCTCTCTAGTTCTCTTCAGCTCAGTTTCCATGGTTTGTCTGACAACAGCCACCTCTCGCAATTCTTTCTGCATGGATGACAGCCTACTTTTATATGTCTCCTCAAGCTCCCTGAGTTCCCTCATCAGCCTGTCTATTTCACTTCTTAAAGAGTTCTTTTCCCTTTCCAGACATTCCTTATCTGTGTCATATTGCTTGATCAGGCCCTGCTTACTATCACACTGGTCCTTCCAGTAACTTAAATCCCTCTTCACCCTTTCATTCTCCTCCTGTAGGCGTTGCTTATTGCGAACCTCAGAGTCCAGGGACAGTTTAATGCGACTGAGTTCCTCATCCAGCCTTTGGTTGTGATCTTTGTCCTTTTCTAACAATTGCAGTTTCCGCAAAAGAGCATCTCTCTCACTCACAATTTCACTGTACTGGGACTGAATGGATTGCATCATTGCTGTTGTCTGCAGAAAAAAGAGTGGGAAAAAAGAGAGAAACAGCAGAAAGACAAAAGGTTAGTCGACTCAGAAATGAATTGATGCATTTACTGTATATCAAGAAACATTCACAATACACAACTATACAATCAAACAACAGGATAGAACATATTTGGATTGAAATAAAAATGAAATCAAATTATCATGCTACTATCAAGTTGAACTGCACCTCATTTGTACTAGTGCTAATGAACCTTAATGATAAACTGTAATATTATCAAGGAAGACAGCATACATACTTACTCTATTCATTTTTGTCAATGAAAACAAAAAGTCCAACATTTTGGCTCGCAGCTTCATTAAGAGCAACAGAAGTGATGTTGCAAATTTAATGTTTCTTTTCTTGCTTGTATTTTTTCATCTGTATTAACGCAAAATTTGACAAAATAGGCCAAAAAAACCACTTGATTTAAAACAAAAAGCTGTTATTGATTATAATAGTAAACAAAACATAAATAGCAAGTCTGCGTGCATTCTTCCAACATATATCTTGCTTTGTTCACATAGCAATGTATTATCGAAAATAATTCCTTTCAGTAAAACAACAAAACAAGACAATGTCTTACAAGACTGGGAAGTAAAAGTATAAAGGCGTTAAAGTAGTCATTTTTTAAAATAAAGTTATCCAGTGGAGAAAAAAAAAACACTAAAATTTTCAAAGTTATTGATTTTCATTGTGAAATCAGCCTTCCCAATCCCGAAGACAAACAATAAATGACACTACATTGTTTATTGCAACTATAACCACAAAACAATCATAACTATTTTGACTACTACTTCATACAGATTGGAATAGTTTCTGTCTACATTCTGTAAACTCGCAAAACAGCACAAATAAATATTGCCGATAGATGGGTGCCAATCTTGATTGACTGGTCAAAACCTGCTTGACAGGGTGCTTAAAATACTGCAAAAAAATGTAGATATTTTACACACAGACACACACACACATATGTGTATGTGTATATATGTCAGTGCTGTTTTTACAAGTTTGCAAAATGTGTTGTTAAGACCATCAAGAAGCCACAATAATTTGATAAACAACAATCAAACTGTATTGGAGCAGACAACTAGTGGTAATGATGTCATGGCGGTGTTTATCACTCTGGGCAGTAGAAGGAAAGGCAAAAAAGCATGCAGACTGAACATCTTTGCACAGTGTGGGGCAGGAAGACAGTGGGTTGGGAAGGTCAGCAGGCAGAGAGGCACACATCATGCTTGCATGCAAGTGACTGACATGCAAGTTTATTCAAACACATACAGACGTATGTGTTCAAATCAGAGTTACCACGTGGGAGGCATCGGGGGGGGGGTTATAGAGGTGTTCCAGCATGCAAGCAAAATTTTTGCCACAGACACTAATAGCTAATTGATTGCTCCAAAGTAGGACTCTGATTTGGAAAGATGAGAGCAGTCCAGGACTAATTGCCAAACTTCCATGTACCTCGGTGGCCTGCGTTTGTATTTTCTCAGTCTCCAGCTTGAGTTTCTCTCTCTCTGAGGAGAGCTCTGAGACCAGGTTGCGGTAATCTACATTGTTACATTCACTGGCCTGCAGCTGCAGCTCCAGAGCAGTAATCTGGGAGGAGAGCTCATCATTAATTCCCTGCTTGGATCTCAGGAGTTCCTCTTTATCATGTCGTGTTGCCCTTAGTTCCTCCTCCAGCCTCAGCTTCTCTTTGGTCTGGGTTTCTGAAATCTCTTTCAGCCTCTGAAGTTGAACAGAGTTCTCATTCAGTACTGTACTCTTCTCCTCTATAGTTCTATTAAGGCCCTCATTCCTGAGGTTTGCCTCTTTGACTCTGGCCTGCTCCTGAAGGAGTTGTTGCTGTAGGGCCTTCAGCTCGGCACTCAGCTGTGTAACGTGCTCTGCAGAGGTCTTGTTTTGTTTCTCCCTCTCCGACGAAAGCTCTGAGACCAGCTTGCGGTAATCTACATTGCTGCGCTCACTGGCCTGCAGCTGCAGCTCCAGAGCAGTAATCTGGGAGGAGAGCTCATCATTAATTCCCTGTTTGGATCTCAGGAGTTCCTCTTTATCATGTCGTGTTGCCCTAAGTTCCTCCTCCATCATCAGCTTCTCTTTGGTCTGGGTTTCTGTCATCTCCTTCAGCCTCTGAAGCTGAACAGAGTTCTCATTCAGTGTTGTACTCTTCTCCTCTATAGTTCTGTAAAGGCCCTCATTCCTGAGGTTTGCCTCTTTGACTCTGGCCTGCTCCTGGAGGAGTTGTTGCTGTAGAGCATTCAGCTCAGCGCTCAGCTGTGTAATGCGCTCTGCAGAAGTCTTGTTTTGTTGCTCCCTCTCTGACGAGAGCTCTGAGACCAGGTCGCGGTAATCTACATTGCTGCGCTCACTGGCCTGCAGCTGCAGCTCCAGAGCAGTAATCTGGGAGGAGAGCTCATCATTAATTCCCTGTTTGGATCTCTGGAGTTCCTCTTTATCATGTCGTGTTGCCCTCAGTTCCTCCTCCAGCCTCAGCCTCTCTTTGGTCTGGGTTTCTGTCATCTCCTTCAGTCTCTGAAGCTGAACAGAGTTCTCATTCAGTGCCGTACTCTTCTCTTCTATAGTTCTGTAAAGGCCCTCATTCCTGAGGTTTGCCTCTTTGACTCTGGCCTGCTCCTGGAGGAGTTGTTGCTGTAGGGCCTTCAGCTCAGCAATTAGCTGTGTAATGCGCTCTGTAAATGTCTTGTTCTGTCTCAAGCTTCTCTCCAGCTCCTCCTGTAACCTAAGACGCTCTTCTTCACCTCTCTTTTCTGACAAGTTGGCATGTTCTTGGTTCTGGCGTAGAGTGGTAATGGTGCTGATATACTCTTTCATGGCCATGGTGGTGCTTTCCAGCTCTGTTTCTACCTGCCTTCTTCTGGACACTTCCTCTTGGTTAGCCTTCCTCACATTCTCCACTTGGCTCTCCAGCCCATCTCTCACAGCCTGGAGGTCCTTCATGCGTCCTTGTAACCTGCTCATGTTCTGTTCTACTCTGCTTCGCTCCCTGCTCTCCCTCTCCAGCTCTGAATGCATCTTCCGAAGCTCCTTCTCACACTCCCCCAGTTGGGTCGCAGCCATTGATGAACTGGTTAGCTTCACCTGCAGCTGGGCCATAGTCTGTTCAAGTACACCCTGCCCTTCCTCTGTAGTTTTCCTACTACGGGTCTCCTCATCCAGACTGTGTGTGATGTAGGCCAGCTCCTCATTCTTCTCCTGCAGAGTCTTCATGACTTCAGACAGCTCCTCTGAATACTGTCTGCTTTCCTCATCTCTCTGCCTTGCTAGCACCTCCACCTGACTTTCCAGCTCTCTCCTCCTGCGGCCTTCCTCTGTGATGACAGCACGCTGACTGTGAGCTTCTTCTTCTGCCCTCTTCCTTTGTTCCTCAGCCTGGCTCATAGACATTCTGAGCCTCCTGAGCTCCTCCTCCAGATTCCTTCTCTCTACCTCCATCCTGTCATATTGCTGCTGGAGATCGGCTGTATCCTCCTCCCTCTGGGCTGCCAGCCTCTGCATATCTGTGCGGCTGATGTGGATCTGGGATTCGTAGCTGAGCTTTAAGTTATTGATCTCCGCACTATATTGGCTCCTTACCTTTGACATCTCTTTCTGTAGCTCCTTGATCCTCACTGACTCCTCAGCCAGCTGCCGCCGCAGCTGTTCAATCTCATAATCCTTACTTGCCCCACTCTTCTCCACCTCCACCTTGGACCAGCTGACTGTCTCCAGCTCTTTCTGCCTCTTCCTCAGCACCGACTCATACTCCTCCTGCTGCGTAGCATAGCGCTCCTCTGCCAGTCTCCTCTTCCTCTTTTCTTCATCAAGCAAGTAGTTGAGACGTGTCACCTCATCGTTGAGGTCCGCCAGCTGGCTCTGACTGGTGTCTAGGCTCTCCCTAGTGGCATTGCACTGCAGCGCAGTGCTTTGCTTCACCTCCTCCATCGATAGCAGCTGGTCCTGTGCTGTGGACAGCTCCAGCTGGTAGCGGGAAACAGCATCTTCCAAAGATTTGTTCTTGGCATTGCGGTCTTGCATGTCCTCCCTCAACAAGCGAAGTTCTTCCTCTAACAGGTCAATCCTGGTGTTACGAATCTGCAAGCAAGACAAAGCAAAGATGTATACAGAGGTACTTTTAAGAACTTAACTCAAGTACATTTCACTGTACTTGCAATAAAAAAAACTTGACCACAGTGTACTTGAATGATTGATTCAAATGGGTTCAACTGATTGTGGAATCATCCAACATCCAAAGAATATCTGTGGTTTCCTTAAAACTGCATTACTGATTTATTTATTTTTTTGCCACTTGGGGGCAGTGCCACAAGCTGCAAACACAATTGACATATTATCACCTCATAAACACCAAGTTGATATGGTTTCCCAAAATACTGGCCAATGTACATATCCACCAGACATGAGGCTATGTTAGATTCACATGAAGTCAAAATTCACTCCTTTTAGCCCTTTTTTTAGTCTCCATCGACCTCTGAGGAAAAATATCTGGCTCATTAGTTTCTAACAGCTCCACCATCTTCACCAGCTACTGTAGTAGTTAACTTTTTCTGTCTTCCATTTGGTAATGGGCAGGTAGTGTACAGTTGGTATACTAGAGCTTTTTTGCTGAAACAAGGATGTGAGAGGTGACACTGAACCAAAACAGTAGGGGTGTAAATCACCAGCTTCATCATGATATGATATTATATCGATTTGTTTGGATGACGATACAATGTTTGCCGATATCACAAAGTCTTTCATGATACGATTTTGATTCGATTCGATTCAGGGGCCTGCGATTGATACAACGCAATACCATATGCCCATCTAACACAATCATTTACATCAACTCACAAAAACAACTAGAATATGATTTTACCATTTTATTTCTGAGCTCTGTTTGTTGTTTGAGCGGAGGCGCGCTTGCCCAGAAATGGTGACACAGACGTGCTATGTGAATTTCAAAATAAATGTGTATCTTTAAGATGAAGATATGGATCGATGTTTTCATTTTGCATCGATATAATCGGATCGTTAATCAATGAATCGATGTATCGATGTGGATCGATGTATCGTTACACCCCTACGAAACAGTAAAGTTGCAGGCCATTAAAAGCTCAGGGGAACTGCCAAATCAAATGAAAACTCTCTGTGGGTTCATCACTACAATCAATTACACAGTCATGTTTTCCATTCTTAATATAAAAATGTTCATTAGGGCAGCTTTGGTATTAAAAAAAAAAAAAAAAAGGTTGAATTTCCAACACTTCAAGACATGTTAATGCAACTCAGTGTTAACTCAACTTTCAACTAACTTAAACTAATTTAGGTTATTTTAACTTAACCAATGGGGACAATGAACATTTATTGGCATCATTATCATGAAAATCTGACAGTGTATTTTGGATGGATGGATGGATGGATGGATGGATGGATAGATAGATAGATAGATAGATAGATAGATAGATGGATAGATAGATAGATAGATAGATAGATAGATATGATGTACATCAGTACCAAAAAAATGTACAACATCAGTACCTTGAGCTCCTCCATGTTTTTGAGCAGTGTTCCCAGGAATCTGTAGTAGTCATCAGAATGAGTGAGCAACTCCATGTAACGGGTTTGCAGTTGTGTAGCCTGAGACAAAAACAAGGCAAACTCAAGGTTTAATTTAGATATAACATCACTTTCCTTCACACATTCATAAAAATTTCAACTATTAGATTATAAGGGGAAAAGACTTTCAGATACTAGCTGGTCACCATATACCAAAAGTTGTTTCTGTGTTTTAATGAGAGAAAACCTCTCCTATTAGGTTTTATTACTTCCAGATTAAGATCCATCGACGGCGACTTTAGCATTGTCCTTTTGATGGGGATGTTGAGCAAAGTCTCTAAACCAGAAGTGTAAGAAGCCAAGTCTGTTTCATAGTCCTGTAAAACAAATACGGTCATAAAATGAATTATTTTGAGAGTTGAGTGTAAAGTCTGTAGACGATATGCATGCCTCCTTACCTTGATAGAATTCACACAGGCTTCATTTTCCTTCAGCACACTCTCCACTGTCTCCCTCTTTGCTTTGATTTCTGAGTTCAGAGCCTTCAGAACACAAAAATATAAAGATGTAAGGTGACTTAAAACACATGGCCAGAGACGCAAAACACAGTAACCAAGTTAATCAATAGCAACAGCGGGCTGAGCAGGAGACCTTCTGGTTATTAATATGGTCGGTCAATGCTTGGATGCTCTCTATCTTGGTGGCCTGCAGGGCGTCTTGTTTTTTCTGTGTGGTATCAATCCAGTCAATAAGGGACGTGCTGGTTTGCTTGTAGTGCTCCAGCTGAGGCTGGTATGCCTGCAAATCTAGGACTCTGGACAAGGAAAAGAAAAAATTCAAAATATAGCACCATGTCTTCAGCGAGTTCAGAGAGTTCCCTTTTACACAAAGTTCTGATCTGACATAAACTGGTGTGAAAAGGTTGTGCTGTCTCTCAGGCTGTAATAAATGGTTATTTTCATTTATTTGTGAAATGTGACACTTTGATGTAATACTTGACAAACATGGCTCAAATATGGGTCATTGGTATAAAATAGATATAAGAGAGAGGACAGCATACCTGGTGTCAATCTGCCCTTGGATTCGTCTCCAGCGGTCTGACAGCAGATTCACCTGATCAGTGTATTTAGATAGCATCATGTCACACCTGTGAAAAGGCCCACCCACCTGGCCATTCCAGTGGGTGGCCTTGCCTAACTCTGCCTCCATGGAGGTCAGAACATCCTTCTTCTGATCCAGCTCTGCATTAATATTCTAAACAACACACAGGAGACACCAGTCAAATGTGACATCCCTGACACTTTAAAGGTATTTTTAAAGAATCATAGCAAATAGCAAAAACAAGTTTCAGGGACTTTCTTACTTTTTAACACAAGCTTTTCTAACTTAAACTGATGGATAACCACTGAGACACTGAGCACTAACATGCACTGGTATTCTGTCCCAGAAGAAAAGGCTGAACTGCTTACTTGTCTGAAACTCTTTTATCTTGCTGAAAAACTGCAGTGATTTTTGCAATAAATGAGAAAATGTTACCTTCAGGGTCATCATGTAATCCTCCACTTCACTGGGCGACAGAGACGTGGTCTCTTTCTCTGTCAGTCTTGCCTCATAAACTTTCACTATATCTTCAGCTCGTGCCACACTCTCCAGCATATCCCTTAGAGCCCGCAGCCTGACAGAGAGAACGATGTGATAAAGGGATAGAGAAAGTAATTCCAGAAAAATGTGTCAATATGTCAAAGCAGCTTCCTTTACAGAAGACAGTTTTGATCATCGTAGTTGTGATCTTGTGTATATGAAGGGTATATGAAATTTAATCTTAGCTTCATCTTGCTATGAGATTTTGATCTTAGTGAGACTTTTGAATGACAAAGCTTCAGTTTGTTTGGTTTACCGCTGTAGGTAAGCTGATGAGCTGCTCTCCAGACTGCCCAGTCTTTGGTTGATGACTCCAAGCTCACTGCGGAGGAACTGGGCTTTATCTGCATCAGTCATGCCGTCCAGCTCCTTCAATATACGCTCCCTCAGACGTAAGTACTCCTCACGCATCAAATTGACATCATGCTGCACCGTCTGCAGGAAAACAGTTATTGCAATGAATATGGGGAATTAAAGTTTAATCCTGCAAATGTTTTTTATATTATTGGTTTATTGGTATACCTCTAACTGAGTGATCTTGAGGCCACAGTCGTTCATCCCATCATCTCCAAGGCAGATGTGAACGTGCTGACTCAGCATGTCCTCTGCACCCTCCAGCCTAAGTCTGAGAGCGTGCAGCTCAGATAAGCTGAGGGAGGATGAGGAGGCAGGGGAGGCAGAAACAGTGGTGACCTTCACCTTCTTCACTGGCTCTGTCTTGATCACTTTTACTGAAGTGCTCTTAATATCTGTTTTCTTCTTTTTCAGCTCCGCTCTTCGTCGTTCTTCTTCAAGTCTCCTGGCCTCCTCTTCACGCCTCCTGGCCTCTTCTTCACGTCTCCTGGCCTCCTCCTCAAGCCTCCTGGCCTCTTCAAGCCTCCTGGCCTCTTCCAGCCTCCTGGCCTCTTCAAGCCTCCTGGCCTCTTCCAGCCTCTGGGCCTCTTCAAGCCTCCTGGCCTCCTCTTCCAGCCTCATGGCCTCTGCTTCGGCTGCAGCATGTTGTTGCTGCTGCTGTATTATGATAAACTGATGGTGTTGCTGCCCGGGTGCTTGTTGTACTTCTATCTGTTCCTGCTGTGCAACTGTGAGTAGACACAAGATATGTTTTTTAGTGAAGGAATAACATGATATTGTGGTTACATAGTTTGACTCTCATAATAAGCACTATTTGCATTCTCAAACCCTCAAGCAATAGTTTCTCTAATACTAAGTTAGTATTATAAGAGGACTTCACATTGAAATATTGAGTCCAGAACAAAGAGTGGCTTGTACTAAACTATGTGTACTATTCATTTTTCTCAAAGTTTTTGGCACAGATAAAGGGATTTTAAGGGCTTCTTAACAATGAAAGATATGACTTTGTTTTGAACATTTTGGATTTTCTCTTTATATATTTGATGCGGTTGCAGATATCAAGTGTTATCAATAAAAATATAGATGTAGAAATTGGGCAACATTGGTGGTAAAGTTGATAAAAAAAAATTAATTTAATTTCAAAAATCTATTATATTCTCAGGAACACTGTCCTCTTTTTAACTGCTGCCTTTTGCTGCCATATCTTTCTTTTATTCTAATAAACTCACACATTATCACCTGTAAATCACAATGCAAATCTAATGATTTGTTTTCATGTAGGGGAGCGTGACATTTTTTTGTAGTACTGACTGTAGGTAGGCAGCTGCACCACCAGCTGGTCATAGTGGGACTGGGCTCCAGTGAACTGGTTCTCGATCATCCTCTTGTCCTCATCACCAAACATCTGGGAGCCGCTGCTGTTCAGTCTGAACTCCTCGTAGTGAGTCTCCAGGCTCTTGATAAGTTTGCGGTATTCCTCAGGACGCATGCGGGACAGCTGAACACACACACAAACATTGTGTTTGATTTACCAACATCCGCAACCAAAAGGTAGATAAAACCCTTCAATTATAATAATAATTTTGAAGACTTTCTATTCTGACTTCAAAGAGTTTATTCCTCACTTACCATGCTGATAGTGAGGGAGTTGATTTTATTGATATCCATGAGGCAGTACTGCCAGGCGATGAGACTCTTAACGTTGATGTACAGCTGATTCCAGATGGACAGGATGGCCTCATAGTACTGCTCATTCCTTTGGATTACACAGAGACAAAATTCAAACCTTAACCTCACAACAACAACAAGGCTTCTTGTACCCAAAACAAACAATTAGTGCATCTTACTTGTTGGCCAGACTGATGCCGAGTGGGTTGGGTGGTGGTACAATCAGGCACACAGAGGGCACTGTCATATCCAGTCCTCCTGGGCCTGTAACTTCCCACTTACTGCGCTGACTGTTGTCCTTCAGGATTGCCTCATTGTCCTTACAGATCACCTTCTGTGAAGGCCAATGAAAATAAATGTCATCAATGAACTAGAATTACTGCCTCGCAGTTGTATGCCTCCGCGAACCTGTCAAGTTGCAGGTACACTTAACATCCATGTCTGTAAGAACAAGATTAGTGTCACAAATTCAGTGTCTGACAAAATGTCTCCCCTTCTGTTCCTGAGATATGACATGAGCAATGGCCAGAAAAGTGTTTTTTTTTAAAAACATTATGACTTTGACTTTGTGGATATAAAATGTCATCACTTCATCATTTTATCCTTGTAAACATTTGTGTGAAATTTTGCCATAATTAGCCTATGAATTCTTGAGTTATGGCCAAAAAGATGTTTTGAGGGCTTTGACCCTGACCACCAAATTCAAATCAATTCATCCTTGAATAAAACAGGACGTTTGTGGGGCGCCGGTGGCTTAGTGGTAGAGCAGGCACCCCATGCACAAGGCTGTTGCCGCAGCAGCCCGGGTTCGACTCCAGCCTGTGGTCCTTTGCTGCATGTCACTCCCTCTCTCTCTCCCCCTTTCACGCTTGTCTGTCCTATCCATTAAAGGCTAAAAAGCCCCAGAAAATTCACAAGAATGAGATGGATGCAAGGTCGTGGTGACCTTGACCTTTGACCACCAAAATCCAATCAGTTCATGCTTGACTCAAAGTGGATGTTTTTGCCAAATTAAAGGAAAAAAAAATCCATGAAGGCATTCTTCAGATATTGCTTTCACGAAAGTGAGACAGACAAAGCCACAGTGACCACCCAAAACTAATCAGTTCATCGTTAAGTCCAAATGGACATTTGTGCCAAGTTTGAAAAATTACTCTCAAGGCGGTCTTGACATACCCTGTTCACAGGAATGGGACAGACGGTCAACCTGAAAACATTATGCCAGGACCTGGCACAGAGGTGTAATATATACAAATAATCAAATCCAGCTCCACAATACAAGTCGTTTTACGATTTTTAAATATAATTATATAATTAATCTGAAAAATAGGAACACATTGGACAGTTCTTGATCTTAGAAGCATATATTTGAGAAAATAAGATTTAACTATTTCCTTGCAGACTACACCCTAAATAAATATAAATTCATTATCAGTGGTGCCTATATGTGGCATGGTCCTTAGAAAACTGACCTGGTCTTGTTTGAAGTCACACAGTGCTTTGACGATGACGGGGCTGCTGCGCTTCTCTTCAGGGTTTCTGGGTTTCAGCCTCACAATGTTCTTGGACTGGTTGACCAGATGTTGAACCTGCCTCTTGTTTTCCATTATCCTCTCCTTCTCCCTCTGAAGGTAATTGAAAAAAACAAAATCAATACCAATAATAATGCAGATCACTAAAAGTAATCATACACTGTAGCTGTTCTGTAGTTTATTCAAACAAAAAAAAAATCCAATTTTACAATGAAAAAAGGCTCAAATAAGAAGAATAAAATGGAGGATACACACAATAAATGAAAACAGTACAAAACAGCTAACCTTATGCCATTATATGAGAAATTTAAAACAAATAAGAGGCAGTTGTTTGTACCTCCAGACCCTTGAGTAGCTCCAGTAGGTCATTCAGTGAAGTGTTCTTGTCACAGGTAAACTTCCTGCGGACTGACTCATGTTCCTTCTGCAGGGTGGTGTACGTCTCATTGGCCTCTTTGAAGAACTGAGATATATAAAAAGAGATCAACAGGAATACATTATTTGGTTTCCCACAGTGTTAGTTTGTGGAAGCAGCCATGCTTTTCTTGACATTAGTCTGTTAACATCAGAAAAAAAAAATGAACACACTTTCATGAAATATACTATCAACATTTAGGGGGGAAAGCACAAGCCCTCATCACACAGAAAAATCCCTATATTTAATGAGCCAGGCAACTGCTGGGACAACCATATGGTAATTTCATTGATCACAAGAGATGAGTAGTGTTAGGATTCAGCTCAGCACATGACAGTGACTGACTGATCACGTCATATGTGCCCTTTGCATCCATTAAAGCCACTATGTGTAGAATCGCAATGTGAGGAGTTCAAGCTGGATCGGTGTGAGGGAAGCAGCATTCAATGTGCTGTCTGCCAAAGTGTCTTTTTTTGAAGCTATAAAATAAATAAATAAATTAAAAAAATTCTGTGCACTGCATTTAAAAAAATATATATTTAAAAAAATAAGTAGAGGGCACATTGGGACATGTGAGAAAAAAGTTCAGCACATAAAGTATAGGTGTGCAAGCAGTTCTAATGGACAAACACCGGGCTGAATCTTTTTTTTTGGAGGATTATTTTGTTTGCTTGTCACGTTTTTTGCCTTTATTCAATAGTCAAGATATAGAAAGTGGAGGCAGGAAACATGAGGAAAGAGAGGGGTACAGTATAAAAATGTTAACAGATGAAATCAAACCCTGGACATTACATTTTATGATACACAACTTTGAAATTTAATCATTAGCTAAACATGCATTTGACCCTTCATTTAGCTCCATTTGGTCTCCACAAACTCCTGAGGGGGAAAATCTGGCTCTTTCGCCGCAAAATGCACCACTGTAATCACCAGCTGGTTGCTAACTGTGTCTGTCTGCCACCTGGTGCTGTGCAGGTAGTGTTGAGTGAGTTTATCAGAGCTTATTTGCTGAAAACAGCTGCACTCTGCACCTGGAAATAACGCTAATGTCAATGAACTGGGATCATGTCCTATCGATTAAAGGCTAAAATGCCCCAAAAAATATCTCTAAAAAAAAAAAAAAAAAACCAAAAAAAACCAGATTGTACTCACGTAGAGAAGAAAAAAAGAGACCAGCAATATTAAAACAAAGATGAGCGGCGCAATGTCTACACTAGTACGCACGGCTTCTGTGGTCAATGTAGAAGCCTCGTGCCGATCATAGTGGACACGCTCTGCTGTGGGCATGCTGCACCAGACGTGTCGCGCCGTATCCGTGCCCCATTGTCCCTTAACAATTCCCTCGGGGTTTGTCACTACGAGCAACTCCCCTCTTACATTACAAATAGTAACTCAAAAATATTAATTAAAATGGCTTTAAGTTTTATGTAGTGCCATGCTACCTGGCTGTAAGCTGCATTCTCCTTCAGGTGAACATCAATGCACTTGGTGATTTGCAGGAGCCAACTCCACTGGGTCTGCAGAGTGTCCTTGTAAGCCTGAAAAAAAAAAACAGAGACAAAAAAATAGAAAAATTAAAGATAAGGCTCCTACTTATAAATGCACGTAAACACTGTGTATTGGTGTGATGGTAAAGGGGTTGGTTCACACCTCGATCTTTTCTGAAGCTGGATGGTTGTTCTTCAGAAGGATGTCCACTTTGGCTTTCAGTTTATTCAGGTCCTTCTCTTTGTCCTCCAGGGCACTCATCAGTTGCTGTTACATAACAAGAGCTTCAGTAATCAGAGGGGACACAGAAAACACCAGAATGCAGCTGGAGGAACGCTCTGTGGCTCCACAGGTGGATGACTGACTGCAGCTGCCAAAATCTAATGCATCACAGATGATTGCTCCCTTATGTGATGCAGATTGGCTTCATGAAAAAGCATTAGTGTAATTTAGACACACAGGATTGCCAAGAATGTTAATCGACAAGAGAGACGCTCTTAAAAGATGAAATTAAATGTGGATTTCTGGAGCGTCAATACATCAAAATGAACACCAAGTGTCTCCTGGCTCTCACTAAACTTTTTATCTTTTACTAACCGAGTAGCTCTCCTGCTTCCGTGGGATGTACTGGTCGATGTTCTTGTCTCCCCAGTCAAACATCAGCTCCTCCTCCTCCCTGTCGTTCACCCACATGATCTCCTGGGATATCTCCTGAATGATCCGCTTCAGGTCTTGCAGCTGCTCGGTCCGATTAAACGACATTTGCTGGCAAGGGAGACGAGAGCATGTTTAGATACAACAATTTACTAGAAAATACTCAAGTCTTAGCGAGTATATTGTTTTTTCTTTCACCTGCAGGCTGTCCCATTCCTGATCCAGAGCGTGAAGATTCGGCTTGTCTCCTTTCTTCATCTGTAGGAAGAGAATTAACTTTAGTATCTTAAAATGACCTGGGGAGTTTGAAAGATGTGGGCGTTTACCAGTCAGGGTAACAAAAAGATGCTATTGTTGAAACACTGGAAATGTCAGATCCAGTGATTTTGGAGCTAAAAAATAAGGATATCATGATCGCTGGTGCTTCTGTTTTTATTATTCTTTCTTTAATCGGTCTTATGTTAGTCCCCTAGCCTCATATGAAACACTGACACTGGCTGTTGCTTTTAGAATAGATTTTAAGGTATTATTGATATCTTACAAAGCCCTGAGGCCTCCTTCCATGTAACTTATCTGATCTCTATTGCCCTATGTCCCTTCTCTCACCCTGAGATCGTCAGAAGCATCACTCCTTGACATTCCAAGGGCCAGATTAATTCAAAAAGCGGACAGAGCCTTTGCAGTCAGAGTTCCTTGACTTTGGAATGACCTGCCTGAGAAGATCAGGGCTGCAAACTCTGTCTCATCTTTTAATACACTTTTAATAACCACCTTTTTCAGAATTGCTCTTCAGTGAATTCACTTGTGTTTTATGACTTTCCCTGTGTTTTACTATGTGCCTGGTTTTTGGCTCGTAGTTTGTTTTATTCTCTCAATGATTGTAAATGTGTTGTTATTGTGAAGCACTCTGTTTTGAAAGTTCCTTTATTAATAGAGTTTATTATTACTATTATTATTAGTATTATTACTATTATTATACATACTAGATCACTGAAGTTCAAATACTATATCAACTAATACCCCTTTAAGTGTTTTCTCTAGTGTATGTATATATAAAATGATTTGATATTTGAGGATTTCTGAACAATCTGAGTCTATTTTTCATTATTTATCCTGTTCCTTATGCCAAAAAAAAAAAATTAATGACATACCAAATGATTATCTGTCCTTGTGTTTTGAGATCAAATCTAGATCCATTTAATTACAATTTGTCTTTTATTAAGAATTGAATAGAATTTACAGTAGAGCCTTCTGGGGAGTTACATTATGTGCTCTCTCACAAATTATGTGGGACTTCTGTTGCAACATCACTACATGTGCTTTCAGCCCAGCAGTAATGCTTAATGTGCAGACTGAACCCACCAGGTCATCTTTGGCTCGCTCAACCTCGGCACTCCTCTGGATGGAGCTGTGAAACCTCTGGTGGCTGACGAGCTGCTGATCGATGGCTGCAGGATCGTCTCCCCAGGATGCAGTTTCAATCAGACGCTGAAACACAAAAATGATAATTGATCAGCAGAAACACACAATAAGAATAATGGTGCAGCTGACAGTGTTTACATTAGGATCATTTTGAGGCAGGTCAGAGAGGGAGTTTTAAGGGTTTTTACAAACATTTGCATGATATGCACTAAATGTCACCAGCAGGTGGTGGCAGAGATGGATGGAAGTTGGATCAGGGGATGTTTTTTTTTCTGTCTGTAAATTTATGAGCCTCGTCAGAAAAAAACATCTCTGAAATCTACCACAGGAAAAATTGGTCTGAGAATTAAAGACAAAACCTTCTTTTAATGTGTATTCCCCTGCAGTGCTTCCCAAAAATTCTTGCACATCCTCTTGTGTGTTCTTGTTTGTCTTTAAATTCCTCATAAATTCATTATTTTTCATTTTAAATTTAATTGCTTACAAGCAATGTCACTTCAATCCAGTGTGTGTTACAACACACAGCACAGGAATGCTTTTATGTCCAAACTCTGTATGAACAGTATCCTGGTTTAATGAGACCTGTCAGTCAGTTCCCTGACACTGTTTCCTCCTTTTTCTTAAAGTGACACCACACAAAGATCTTTTTATGACCTTGAATAGCCTTACAAAAGTAGCTGTAAAGATAGACATTTTAAGGCATCAAGCTACAGTAATCACATTGTTCTTTTTGCAATAACTGTGTTTTCATTTCTTGAGGTTTGTTTGCAGATTTTATCAATGCATATGATGGATTTTTGAATGCAAATTGCGAATGAGACTAATTTTATTGATAAAGAAACGATTATTCTGGAGGCTCGTTCAATGTCTCAACAGGTAAACACTTTTTTTAATTAAAGGAACAATCCACAAAAAATGTAAACAAAATTGTGATCATCATCGACCAATAAAATGACAAAACTAAATCTGAGTTTTAAAAGTTTTATCATCAAATCCTTCATCAATAATGAATAATCAATCTCTCCAACTACACACGTAAGTTTACTGTACCATCAATATGTACTATATGTAATATATAGGCCTACTGTATGGTCAAAAAATACACAAATGACTCAATGGACTCATGGGGGCCCCTCTGCATGAAGTCATTTTTAATGACTTTGGATTTCTTGTCAAAGGGTTTCTTCATAATTGTGATATCCCAGCCCAAAAAGTCCTACAAAAAATAGTAAAACTAGGGGAATAGCCTAAACATTCACTTTGAAGATGTCATGAGAAAAAAAAACATCATGAAACATCTTAAGAAAGTGTTTCCATCCCCTCAGTTTGTCCACAGGACTGCAGATGTGTTAAGTGAACTAGGCAATTTGGGCTCCTCAGTTCTGTGGGGAGAAAGAACATCATGTTGTACCTGCCTACAGGGGGTAGTAGGGCCTTTTATGCATCTGGGCCCAGGGGCCCATTGTGTCATAATCCACCTATGACATGGCAATTAATCAGGTTCAAGCTCATTTTAGGTGTTTAATTTAGAACTTAATGCCAGATATTTCCACACTTGAAGTAAGGGTCTGCCATATCATCTCGTTCAAGATAGTACCGGTAGTACTTATATGTGAATGTGCAATACTTATCATAGCATAACAGCCTGTCACAAGTTACAGCCTGATAATGAGAGAAGAAATGGTAGAGCATAAAGGTCCAAGTGGGGGGAAAAAACAACTCAATCATTTAAGATTTTTGCTAAAAGAGAAAATCGCAAGGGTACATTTTTTTGGATTTGGGAGCTGTTTAAATGTGTAATTTGTGGTAGATTTTACTTTGTTGAAGTATTATTATTATATACAGAATCTGAATCTCTCTCTGAGTTACTGCTGTTGTTTATAAACTAAAGAAATGAGAGATCATTTTTTGTTTGGTTTTTACTGAATATTTGGAGGCAGACTGTTAGGTTGACATGTAAAACTATATCATTTATTTTCTTGCAATTCTATGTTCTTAAATTAATACCTTGAAATATTTCAATATTATTTTAGGGCTATATCGCTCACCCCTAACTTGAAGCCATGTTTTTAGTCGTCTTCCAGATTTATTATCTGACATCAAGTGCAATGTGTGTGTGTGTGTGTGTGTGTCTGTGTGTACGCACACCTTTTGCTGTGCAATCCAGCCCATAGCGTCTTGGAAGCTCCTTCCGCCCTCCTCCCAACCTCCAGTGCTCCCTCTGGTGCTCCTCCTCCTGCGCATGCTGCCTGTCATGGCCAAGTGTACGCCCTTCAGCTGGTCTTTACAAATCTCCAAACTACGGATTAGCAAGAGAAAAAGAAAATTGGCAAGACTTGCATGTCACAGACAGAAATGTTTTAAAAGTGAAATCACAAGCAAAGACAGAAAGGGAGGAATCCTTCTTACGTCCTGACTACGTTTTCATTGGGCTGTCCCATTTGTCTCAGGTCCATCGCGCAGCCCTTCAGCTGCTCAATGGTCTCTTTGGCCTTCGCCATGTTGCGCTCTGCATCACCCGAGGCACTGCCCTGCATGGCATAAAATAAAACATTGAGGGTATGTACAAAACCACTCTGCAAGAACAGAAACATACATCCATACATTTTCCAGTAAAAAGTTTCTGTCGATGATGAAATGTGGGAAAAATTTGGGATTTTTCTGTTTGTAAATTGAGAAAGAACCAAAAACTGTTTTGACACTTTTATCCAATTTATTTCATGTCTACCAAACGAAAGTATCTCATAGTGCGTTTCTTCTTTTCTTGGGGTTTCTTTTTTGGTCCTATGCACGTGTCATTAAAAATGTATCATGCAAAAACATTGTTAATATTTTTAACTGGTGTTTTTTTTAAACATATGACATAGAGCCAACACTTCGTCTTTGTTTCTTATAACAAATGCAGCACTTTTACTTTACACTCAATTTGTCAGTTCTGTGTTGATATGCCAAAACTGTCAAAATCCCAGGGAAAAAAACCAAGACCTTGAAAATTGATAATTTCATGACTTAAAAAAAGAAAAGTAATAGAGGCAAAATTCAGTATTTGACGCATTTCATATGATGAGTCAAACGTTTTGCACTTCCGGTAAACTCTTTAGAAAGACAAATAATTCACTAGAAGTTGGCAAACATAAAGCTGAGGGGGCGTGTGTGCGTGTGCGCCTAGATGTTTGCAGACTCACTCTGACAATGTAAAGCTGTAATGGATTCATTGACGGTTGAAATGTCGCTGAAGGGGCTTTGGCTCCAAAAAACAGATCCACCACAGAGATAAACAAAATGCTCTCATTATCAGCCTGGTTCTGTTACATCTTCTGACTGTCACATTCATCAAGTTACTCAATTTACGACCAAACCACATTTCTGTCATTCTCTTTGCATCTTGTACCAACAGAAGTGAAGCTGCAACACAATGCTTTTTCTTTTTGAAATAAAAACCTGCAGAATGAGCTCTGACCCAGACAGGCTTTTATCTGCACTACTGAAGGAAAAGAGCCAGTAAGTGAGGTTAAAAAAACAAAGTATGACTCACAGACTGAAGGGCGTATTCGGCTTTCTTCAGGTACTCCTGGCACTGGCTCTGCAGGATCATGGCCCTCTGGTGGATGGAACCACTGCAGGGGACAGCAGAGTAAACATCAGGTTCTTTACATAATAATCTTCAGCTGCATTATTTGTATTAAATGCATATCCAACGCAATATTACAGTTAAAGCCATCAGATCACAACCTCTCTACTGTGTGATGTAATGAGTTGTACGCAGTTTCACAAATGGCTGATTTTCTCCTCTCAAATTGTTTCATTAGAATTTTTCTGTCAGTCAGTATTTCACAAAAAAGTTCAATTTAGTCAATATCATTTTGTGCGGCAGACTTGTGGTTTCTTCTTCTCTTGTGACCAGGTGTGCACCAGACAAATGTTTGGGGCACCCCGCCAAAAAAAAAAAAAAAAAAAGGAGGGAAGGAGCCCCCCACAGCCAATCCCATTAACACATTTTGCAATGACAACTCTAAACCCTCTTAAACCTCCCATAAAGGCATTATACAGTGTGCTGCTGCCCCCCCTCCCCAGGAAAGGGAAACTCCCCACTAGGTGGGGCCCCTTCTAGCTTCTAGGATCACCACTGCTCATAACCCCTCAGATTTATTCTGTGGGAAGCACTAATTGAGGGCACAGAGTGAATGAATGTCCTGTCCTGTGTGTCACATACAGCATTGCATGTCTTTGAAAAAACACTTCAGCTTTGGGGTCACTTTCTTTCCTAACAATTTCCTGTACGGATGTTTATCCAACTAAAAATGTCTTGGGAGTTCTTCCGCAAAGGTGCATGTAATTAGGCACTAATAACAGAATAAAAATACACATGATACAGTTGATTGTGTCCCACAAAAAGTGATAAAATTGTGTATTATTAAACATTTGGAATAGTTGTTTAATTTTATTTGTTTTTACATTTGCTAACTTCACAAGCATAGAAAAGAAGGCAAGATGGACTATTTAACAAGTCTTTACTTGGAGATCTATAAGACATTATGTTGTAACTTCATATGCTTCGGTCAGGAACGTCAGGAATATCTAATCATGTAAATATAACTGCTATTCTTTTGGTCTGAACACGATGTTAAAATGTGCATTTGTGCATTACTACACAGTAGTAAAATTGTCATTATCATCATCATCATCATCATCATCATTATATGCAGTAGTTACACTGAAAACATAGAAGGTTAGGTTGGCGTCTCTGCCTGAGGGCATTTACTGGATTTTTAAGGCTGATGGGTTTTGATATTTGAAACTCGATAATAACAGATATCATTATATAAGTCAATATCATTTTTCTTACATAAATGTGAAATAAAAAAACATTTCTGAAAAGGATCTTTTATCAAAAAGGTTAATGTTTCTGAACAAATCAAACATACGGGTGGCATTTCTGTGCTGCAGCGTGTGCCAATAACATATCTTGCAAAACTTCCCCAGAACTAACACACACTTCCACAAAACAAAAAGGTGCTGGATGAAAAAATGGAAAGAGATCAGAACATCTGCATGCTACTATTATGTAAGTTTTTGACCTCAAAGACCTTTGTCAGTGCATGAGGATAATGACATAGCTGCCATAAGCTAATATCGGCTGATACATGGGCCCAGCTGATTTATCCATGTAGTTCTAATCATTACAAAATAATAGTGTGACTTTTTCCTTTGAAAAGCCTTAACTCTGTTTTTTCTCTGATTTCACTATAATCAGAAGACCTTAACAAATACCTGCTAATAAATATCAGAATCTACATTACATGAAATTTAAGACGATGATTGGACCCGGATATTAATCAACATCTTTTATCGAGTCAAACATCTTGTGATCATGTTGACCACATGCTCTCTGCCCTTTTCTACAGTAGGCTACCACAGTGACATATTTACCCTGTGGATGACAGTATGGAAGGTCTAAACTTGACACATATGTTTCTGCAAGAAGTGAGTGTTAAGCAGTTGCAGAGGACGGGCCTTGGCAGTTCAGTGTGAGCTATAAATCAAACTCAGTGTCTCCCTCCAGGGTGGGAAGCTGCTGTGCAAAGAGGAAGCTGAAGTACAGTTTAAAAAATCTGCAAAACACATCAGCTTTAATAAGACCTCATTTCAACTTTGACACATTGATTCCAGTGCAGCCTTGTTTTGTTATCACTGTGTATTATTAATGATGAGATAAAAGAGTCAGGTGACGTGGTGACTCCTTCACCAAACAAACTATGCATGCACAGCAGCCAAATTCGTTTCAAACTTTGTATGCAACCTTTCAGCTTGAATGGGGACTGGAGACAACCACTTTATGGAGCATTATGTCATGAGGCACAGCTCCTAAACTGATGTAAATGTCAGGTTATTTCAGAGATCAGAGCTGTGACATTTGCAGAGGAAGAGCACTTTCCTGTAATCAGGATCCCTGCAAATGTTATCATGCGTTTGGTTGGTAAATTTGATGTCTGAGCCGCAAATACCAGAGCTTTTATTCAGCGCAAGGACCATTGTGCCTGCTCAGCGTGTGCAGGGGCGAAATGAATACTGGGATTAAACAAGCTGTCATGGTTAATATTTGATAGCAACCAGCCTTTCAGACTGGCGTGCATCCTCCCTACAGAGAGGGCAACAACATGTCCGTCTGGTTCAAGCGGGGGCAACAAGTGGCTGCCAGGAGAGCGCAGATTTAACAGTTGTAAAAATTAACCAGAAACTCAGTTCATACCTTATTCCGCCTCCCATGCCGCCCGACATTCCGCTCACCATTCCGCCTCCCATTCCGCTCGACATTCCGCTCACCATTCCGCCTCCCATTCCGCTCGACATTCCGCTCATCATGCCGCCCGACATTCCGCTCACCACCATGCCGCCTGGCATTCCGCTCATCATACCGCCCGACATTCCGCCTGCCATCCCGCCCGTGGAGGACCTTGAAAAGGAGTAGGTGTTGTATCCGTCCATGTAGGGGTCGTATCCATTACCGCCTCCGTGCAGGACTTCGCTCCGTGCGTAATACGTCCCACCGCCAGTCAAGTCGCCTTTGGACCTGTCCAGGCCCTTCTGAGACCCGTATTGACTCATTGTGACACGGAGACGGTAGCCGAAGCTACTCCGTGGAAGCTACCGGGGCAAACTCAGCAGGCAGGTAGGGTGTCTCTCCCTGTCCACCTGTTCTCCGCGGTCCCTCCGGAGCAGACTGCAAACAAACTGTAGGGGAGGATCGTTTTTGGAGGCTGGTGACCACACCTCTTTGCCTCTCCCCAACCTGCTGAGCCAAAAACTTTCCTCCCTGCGCCACTCCCCTGCTAACTCAGCTGGAGGCAGAGTGTGTGTTTGTGCTGATGTCTGTCTATCTTTGTGGGGACCAACGTCACTTTCAGACAAGTGAGGCCATCTTTGAAAAGTTTTTTTTTTTTTTTTTTTTTTAAAAAGGACAGTAAATAGGCTACATTTGTGATAGTGTGGGGGTTAAGTATTTTTTAAAAGTTACTTAAACAAAATAGTGGGGACAGTTTTTTGACACTTTTTCAAAGTAATACATTGTGCAAAGTGAGGACAGTGAAAAGTGACCAGTGAGAACATTGTCTGGTCCTGACTGCTTCAAAGAGCTGTTTGAGAGTTGCTTTTAAGGTTCAAATAAGGATTATATTAGTGTTAAGGTGTGGTAGGGCAGCAGTAACAGTGGTTAAGGTTTGAGTTAGGACCTGGAATGCATCGTTCTGCCTGCTGCTGCTAAACTCTTGAGCTCATCACTTGTTACTTTACCTTAATATATATTAGGCTATCTTTACTTTTATATAGGCTGAACTTATCATTATGCATCTACATTTTCTACATTCCTGTTACATTTAGTTGTCATTTGCAATTACTGTCTAATTCATAGTACTGTATTTAATAATTTATCTATATAGGCCTATTATCCTTTATTTTAACTTGCACTTTTTATGTGTGTGTGATTTTATTTTTATTTTTTTACATATTTAATGAGCATTGTTGGCAGGGGCCTGCTTCTCTGTTATTGTTGTGTGTATGATAAAATAAATAACTTTATTTATAAAATCATAGTTATATTATTAATAATATATTAATTATATCTTTTAAATGTTACATTTAAAATGTCTAAAATGAAATTATACATATAACTTGCATGCTATTTCTTACTTATTTTTGATTTCTTGAAACACCTTGTATCATGTGCACTCTGCAGTAGCTGGATTGCTGACAGCTGTAAAGGTCAAAGAGCTTCAAGATAAACTGCTGCAATGACAGATGATGCATCCACCTGAGCAGGCGTTGCATCGCCTGACCCGACCAGTAGAAATTCAATTAGAAACAACCAAATTATGTTTGTCCTCTCCTCAAACTTTTACTCTACACGACCTCATCATACACTGTTTCTGTTGATTTTAATGGAGAAAAGAACTCTCTCACATACACATAAACACACACACACACACACGCACACACTACTTAAACACTTGCCTCCAGCCAATGGGTGGGACTCACAGGAAAAACAAGTTGAACAGCTGTTCTTGATGACAGTAACGTTGGTTGAATTTTATTACCACAGTTTGAAGACTGTTCAAGTAATAATAAATGAAAAAAGATGAAGGTATACAAACAGTCCTGATTTACAGATCAATGCTTTATTCATGTCTCACTTTTTTGTTTGCACTTATTTGTTATATATGTTTTGTGCTGATTTACAGTTATAATATAGGACTCTCAGGTGTGTTTTTTGCATATGTGCTCACTGAAGGTGTCTTTGTTCATATAAATCTGCCAAATGTTCCTGAATTTACCATCATGAAATAGCAGCACTGTGAGTTTGTCTCATGGCAGGGAACTAAAACTTTTCCTAACTTTGCAAATGCACGCAGTGAGCTTCAGTGCAAGTCCATCCATCCATCTGCAGACCCACTCACCTTTTGTGTTTTGTTAATGTAAGCGGTACAAATCCATCATTAAATGATTGAATTGTCATTTAACAGCTGTGTAGTTTGAACAGAGATCTCATCAGAGACCATCATGCGATGACATCATTCCAGCTGCAATACAGTGGTCTGCATCTTAAAACAAATTGCTGGTCAGGGGGATAAAAGTGGGGGGCCAGTTGCCCCTTTTGTTCTTCCTACCCCCCTACCTCTGGCCCCCTTGCTCGGACCACACCCATCTTTGAACTTGACTTTCATTTTGATATCAACTTAACACCTGTAAGTTTTGTGACTGCATCTTGCACATTTCTGACGCTATCACATTGACAAATCTGTCCACCATCAGACAGACAGACAGACAGACATATAAACACCTGGCAAAATCCTCACAGCGGCTTGTGTGGTATTTTCCATTGATGGTGTCACCAGGTTCACATTTTGCCATGCTGACACACACAAACACACACACTCTCACAAGGTGAAAACAATACCAGCTATCATGACATTGTCACGGCTAATAAAGATTACTTTAATTGTTTGAGCTGCAGTCTTTGTTTGTGTGCAGGAACTGTGACCTTTTTACACAGTTTGAAATGAGATGGCAGAGTGGAAAGTCTCAGGCAAACAGTGCTGAGAAAATTGTTAAGTTGTCAAATATAAAACCACCATAGACTCCGAGTGTGAAATATGAAGCACACACATGCATGCGCACACACACACACACACACACACACACACACACACATTCACAGGCTCACTCCCTAAGTCTTCACTCAGCAGATGCAAATCTCTATCTTAATTTCCTTTAATTTCACAGCATTGACAGCACAAAAAGGAATTTCTGTGGGCGGCGGTAACAATGATCTGGGAATGGCAACTCTGGTCAGTCCACCACTTTCTAAAATATCTCAACAACTACTGGATGGATTGCCTTGAAACTTGTTACACACATTCATGTTCTACACAGAATCAGTCGTAATAATTTTAGTGAGCATCTGTCTTTTCCTCGAGCTCCATCGCCAGGTCAACTTTTAATTTGGCCAATACTTTGATAACAAGATACCTGCAAAACTAATCACTTGCATCATTGTAAACTGTACATTGCGCTGAGGGCTAACTAGTCAATATTAGTGTGCTAACACAGCAAAGTAAGATGTCAAACGTTACACCTGCTGAACATCAGCATGTTAGCATTATCACCGTGACCATGATACCATGCTGATGTGCCAAAGCACAGCTCCACAGAGCTACAAGCATGGTTGTAGACTCTTGGTTTTGTTTTCATTTGACCTTTTGACATTTTTTTTTTTCTTCTCGTTTTGTTTTGTTTTCCACTAAAACAGCAGCACACATTGCACAGAATTAACAATTTACTGAAGGAAGAAGTGCAAAGAGAGGCAAAAAAGTCAGAGCACACAGATGTACACATGATAATGAATCCAGATGGTGTATTTGCTGTTTTTGAGTCAAGACTGATCATGTCCTACACCTTACAAGAATGCCTTGGCACAGAAGCAGTGCTCCTGCAGGCCATTATTTCCCTCAGACTTTGACCTGATATGGTCCAGTAAAGCACAAAGAATAATGATAATAATAGTAACAGAAAATAACAAAATGTTTGCCAAGAGCTTGAGCTGAGACCCTGCAGTTCAAGGACAGCTGCCCTACACTACTCTGCCACCCAATAAACTCTGCAGCTATTGAGGAATGTAGCATGTGTGTGTTTGTTTGTAACAGTGTGGGATTTGGAGTTATGTGTATAATCATGCAAGAGTGAAAGTACGAGAGAGAAGAGAACAGGAATTGGTATTTTACAGTGTTAGCCGTTTATGATTAATTGCAAAAAGTTGTTTTGCATTCACATAATTGCAGACTTGGTTTGGATGAGTGGGTGCAGAAGAATTTTACCCATCATATTCTGGGATATGACGATTGAATCCAGAAGCTCTGTGCTTTTATTACTATCAACTTAGTCTTGGAGCTTTCGTGTGCTTGCTATGAGTGATTCATGGAGATAATAAGCTGCCCTAACATTTTTCTCAGGGAAAAAAATGGTCCCACCTTACCATCATGTTATTCCCCGTGGCAAATGACATTCAAGAACACGCCTTTGCCTGTACCTTAACTCACACAGGTACACACCTTTTGCCAAAACAGCATTCCAGCACTGGTCGTTGTTGTTTTTTTCTTTTTAAAAAGGCTACACTTTTTGTACTTGAAATGAGGTATTGAACATGAATTATGAATTTGCATGAACATGTTTTAGTGGGTTAACTAGACTTCAGGGGAAACATACAATAAAGACAAAAAAGAATATTGTTATAGTATTGTGCACATTTCATCTGGTGCACAAAAGCCCTTTTAAAACTAATCATTGAATTCAACACATTTACATTTTTTGTCCTCTGGCTGAATGAGTTAAATCATTTTTAGGGTGTGTATCTGAGGCGTAGTCCCAGTGGCCCCACCCTCTCCCATCTCCTTTCATTCCTGATCACTACAGACAGGATAAGGCTTGCACACGTTAATAGGTTTTTTTAAAACATGCCTGTCATATTGAAGGGAGCGTGACAGTGTGTGTGTGCATAAGTTTGAATGGCTCAGGGACAGGAAATGAAAATATTGTGGTGCATTAAAAATCTTAAAAAAACAGGTAAATGAGGTTGTTTAAATCCGGATCATGTACAAGATCAGGAATTTCCTGCAAGCCTCGGATTTGAGAAAGCCATTCATGTCTTCATATCTTGTTATTTTTCTCACTTTTAACTGATTTAAAATGCCACAGCAGGATTATTTAGTCAATAAGGTGGGTGTGGAGTTATTCTGCCAGTTCTTGTCAGTGTGGCTCACTGTTACTTGTAGAGGTGAATTTAAAATGAAACTGTTTGTCTATAAAGCACTGCATGATCTTGCCCACACATTTCCGAGCTTTCTCAATAGCTGCACCAAAATGAAGGACTTCTACCTCCTTTATATTTCGTTAGCTCACTACACTGATGTCTTTATGGCACCTCTAATCAATATTCTCACCAGAGTAAACATGTATGTTTCTGCAAACCACAGATGTTACATTTGTTCAAGATAAGTAACAGTTCCAGCAATGTCATGTGTGTGGTGACAAAACTGGGTGTTTTTATTTTTTAAAGATTATTTTTTGGGGCTTTTTGCCTTTAATGGACAGGACAGATTGAAATAGGGTGAGAGAGAGAGAGTGGGGGTTGACAAGCAGCAAAGGGTTGCAAGCCGGAGTTGAACCTGTGACCGCTGCAGTGAGGCATCGCCTCTGCACATGGGG